TCGACTACGAGTACCGCTCCGACACCATCGACGACCGAACAGACAACAGCGGAAGGGTCAAGGTAAGTCAGAAAAATATAACTCAGTACTCACTGCAGTGAGTGACAGAAAGCGCATTTTCTCGTCGACGAAAACGTGAAGTCACGAAAGGACGGACAGACAGACGGACATGGCTAGCGCAATAGTGCATTTTTTCCATAAATGAGAAAATGCGCTATAAATAATATTGTTTAATTGTAATAAAATATTATAATTGAACTATTGAGATAGTATAATTGAACTTACTATCAAAATAGTATTAGAAATTTTTATAAATCCTCCTAATTTCATCTGGGGTTATTACAACATGTTTTATTTAAGCGAAAGAAAGTTATGAACTTCGGTCGCGTGAGGGCATGAGTGCGAAAAGCTAATAAGAGCAGAGGGCCCTTCAAGAGGTGAATTTAAGTGCTGCGTGGGTTTTGCAATTTGCTCAATTTTGGCATTTGTTCTTGTGAAGGCTTCCACTGCTGCCGTGGTCAGGGCGTAACGAGGCCTAGCGTGTCCATTTAGAGGCAATTTTCCGCCGCATTTCACTCCTGGCATGCACTTAATTCTCTATTAAACTGTGACGAAAAGTCACTGATTTTCGACTTATATAGAAGTAAAAATTTGGATGAGGTTTGTAGAGAAATTGTCAACGCCTTACCGTGCAGAAAATCATCTGACTACGATATTTCCTCAAAAAATGTACATGATATATTTTCCAGAGAATCAGGTATACAGATAAATCTCATTAGGAAAGTTTCTCCTTAAAAAATCAAGTTTGTTGGTCGGATTCCGTAACGCTCAAGTTTTTTTAACTCGAAATCGCGATAAGGCAAACCGCCGGGGTCCTGTAAGGGATCTGCGAGACTGAAGTTTGAACGCAAAAGATAGCGAGTTTAGCCGCGGGCATCTTAAGACAACCTTGTTCTCGCATTTCTTCGTGCCTATTGAAGAAAAACAAAACTGCTTAAAGTTCTTCACTTGTACGGAATGTTTTGTGTGCATGGAGACCCTCGAAACTTTTTCCATCTATATTGAATGTCGCCCGAGTCTAAAATAAAAGTTCCATCAGTACTAGAATTTTTTTGTAGGCAATATTTTCATGCTTTGTGGATTTGAAAAAACGTTTACACCAAACAAAGTAAACAAAACTTGAATTGTTAGTATTTTTTAATGTTCAGACAGCTTCTTTTATCTCGGCGTATCAATGAAATGACGCTGGATTTCAGGCACGAATGTTGTAACTGGTTTACTTCAATTTTATGTCTCTACACAAATATTGCTAAGTGTGAGCGTGTTAGCCTTAATTGAATGTCCAGGAATTGTTTTTATTCGCCGAGTTTGACGGCACGCAAGCTGCCGCAATAATGATTGCAGTCAGGCAATCGGGGCGTAATTCGTTGGTCTTGCTCGGTAAATCAAACAGAAGGAAAAATCAGCTAAATTACACTAATTACTAATTTAAATTACATCGTATTCGGTTTTCGAAAATATTAATGTCGGAAATTTAGCAACATCGAAAGGGGTTACTGACCCAATTTTTTAAAAAGATTTCCGTAACAACGAACTAAATGAAACAAATTTATTAAATAATGCTAATATGAAATTCTTCTTATACGTCATCAAATGGAGAAAGGAATTCTGCGCACTACGGTGTCAAGTGTAAATCCGCAGTCACATTTACCTTTTGCAGCTTCCAACTTCAAGTGTGGCGCTAGTCCTACCGAAGTAACTGAGTTTAAATTGCAAAGCAGCAAATCTTGGTCCATGCATCGTCTCGTTTTTCCAGGTTTTTGTAGCAGACAAGACGTACGATCGAGTCTGTGGAAGAGAAATTCAGCTACGGCTTCACTTCGCTTGTTGCAGACTTTGGCGGCACCCTTGGACTGCTCCTGGGTGCATCAGGTATTATATATATGTTTTTATAATCATATAATTTCTCAAAAAACTTGAGATATTTTATTTATTAATCGCATTAACGATGGAACTAACACTGAAGATGAAATATTTTCTGTTAAATGTTTCGTTCAATCCTAGGAACAAGCAAGCGTTCGAAATAATGTTTTGGCTTTTGCATCAATTCCTGTTAATTAGAATGACTTTTCACTTAAACAAGCTGTCAGTGCAAAATTAATTAGCTTAAAAAATATGATTTGATAGTACATCATTTTAATTGGTACATAATCATACATCTAAAATATTAGTCTCGTAAACTCTCGCACATTCTCAGTAATCAAGGCTGGTGATTCGGCGTTATTTACACTGATAATGAATAGACAAACAACACGCTCTCGGTGCGCTCTGGCGACCTTATCTACAATTATCTACTGACATTTCCTCTCGCTTCTTAGAAACAGAAAAACTAAGCTTCTTAACAGCAATTTTCGTGCAAAAATATTGAATTATTAACGGATTCATTCATATTATATATGACAGTATTGAAGTAACATACCACTTTTGGATGTGTTCATCCGTTTCTGCAAAATATTCTTTTTCAAAAACACCTTAAAATGAAATCCTAAATTAAAAAAAATTTCACACGTGTGTCTAGCGAAAAATTATACACGTATTGCCAACAAAGGGTTATTTCATCAAGCAATGTACAACAGTACAATCAAGCAATACAACTGTACATAATTGTACTGAAATCTGCGCACTCGAACATGGAATGACAAAAGTTATAACTTATAAATTAAATAAAACAAAGTAATGAAGCAAGCACTCGAGTTAACGAGAAGCATTATTCGTCGTGGCTAACCACAGCGCCCTGCATGGCATACGTTGCGGCAATCTTGCATTTGATTGAATTATTACAGTAGCCGGAATATTTGTACATTAAAACTGGATAAGTAGCATTGTTAAGAGTTTGTCAATATTGTTTTGCGCAAGCTGGATTTTGGGTAGTTTTCAATTAACAATTTATTACCTTACAACGTTTTCGATTAAATTTGCATTTCGTGTTTAAATCCTATATCTTAATTAGCAATAACCTGTTCACGGCAGCAACTAAGTGTATTTCTAGTGCAAAATATTTTCAAGCAAAATACGAGCAACCGCTGATCAATTAGACCGATTATCACTTGACCACCTAGATTTTCCGCCACATCTCATCATTGTTGTCAATTGATCTTGAGCAATTCAGTATACGAAATCTTCAACGCGGTAAAATTAACTTCATTTACTAATAAAACTGTCGATTTTTCATTTGTTTCTTCATTTTAGTGCTAACGATGCTGGAGATTTTGGAGTACCTGTCGGCTGGATCCTGGAGGTTGCTGAAAAGGATGTATTCGTGCTGCGGTTCTTCGGGAGCTCGCTGCTGCTGCAACAAGTCAAGAAAAGTGCAAGAAAACCAATAAGCGTTGACGGTATTCAACTCAAATTGGATGCATGGAATATTATTCCTCACGCTTGTGAAATACGGGTTCAAAAATTAATTTTGAATTTAAATTCAGGGGATAACATTTAAGAATTGTATATGAAGCAATTGCGAGAGATAATTTCAAACACGTGCTTTGAAAGAACTAACATTTATTCGCCAGAAACCTTTCAAGCATTTCATATCACGCTTAAGCTTCATGATACAAATATTCTGTTTCCTTTAAATTTGTTCGTGTACAGCGTGAGATTTCAATGATCGAGAGACGGTTCTTCATTACTTCTGACAGATATAAAATATTACAGAAAATTTTTCATCCGTCTTTTCCTGTTACTTCCGGTCAATAGTCAATTTCCAGACGGAAGGTCAGCCCGAATTTTACAATTTGATATAAATCATTTTTTGCATCCTGTGTACTTTGCACATAATATATCACATGGCCAGCCTTTCTGCATAAGTCGGTCGCGCTTTTTTTCTTCCAACGCATTACTCGAATTTGAAAAGGAAAAATCTGCCCATTTCACTCTCGATTTAGCAGCCCTCCTCAAAGGGCGTGACTGGAGGCAGCCGTGAGGCGGTTTGTTAAAGCAAGCCGCTGCATCTGCCTCCGGCGCAGCTGCTCGCTCGTCATTAACTGACTATATTTTGGACTGATTAGCTAACCTTTCTTTATCCATGAGCCGGAAGTGTCGACCGTGTTGTGGGCCTAGAGAATCAGCCTCGTTCATGGTTCTACCACTGGCTCTGCCTTCCGCCTGGACGTCGACCTCAAGTCAATTGTATGTTTATTCACCTGCATGCGATCAGCGTGTCCGAGTCTACAACTGCGTGGACGGTGCTTGCCTAAAACGAGTTCCATCGTGTCTGCATGCCACCAGGAATGTGCTCTCCCTGCTAATTTCTCATCTGCCTCCCAAAGAAACGTTCTACCATAGTGCAGCGTGCAACCTTACCAATGTGACTTCATATCGGCGGCGTGCAACCTTACCAGTGTTAGTACTTCAAATCGGCGGCGTGCAACCTTACCAGTGTTACTTCAAATCGGCGGCGTGTAACCTTACCAATGTTACTTCATATCGATCAAGCGCCGGCAACCTGAATGGTTGGGCCCAGCTGACTCTTGTCTATCGTCTCGAGTTCCATCTACCTAATCGTACTTAATTACTAATTGAATAAATCTTCATTTACAGTTCATCAATTAAGTAATCCACGTGCATTCTAGTCCTGTTAGGCATCCTTTTTTTATTAATTGGATTTTCAACGAAATTATAGCTATCTAGGTAAAGTGTTGTCCGCTTTACTGCAACAATATTAGACATTAGCTAAATGTGTTCAAGCAAGGGTTTTATTTTTTATGCTTCTTGCAATCTTGCAGCAATATTTATGGAATTTGCACTAATCAAGATTTTCAAGCAGGAAAGTTCTAAACTGACTTCTTTCAGATACGATATTTCTTGAAAATCCTTTGAATTTTTCTCAATCATTATTTAATGCAAAATTCATTTACTTTCTCTTTTGCGATCTCGATGGTACTTCGTAAATAAATTTTACCATGTATCTACAGTAATGCAGAGGGAGCAAAGAAACAAAAATGTGGGAAATAATAATTTGAAAGCCCATTCTCCAGAAGTTTGTTCGCAGAGACTTTCTCCATTGATAGCGATTCATTCACCCAAAGAGGGTCCTGTTCTCTGTACGCTCCTCAGCTCAAAAGCGTCTTTGGCCCGTGCGTCGCAATTGAGTCTTCGTCCTCAACGGTATACATGAAACAAAGCCCCACACTCCCGCCGCTCTCTTTATTTGCACGCAAATGCTGCAATAACTGCTGCAGGTCCTGGGAAAAATCCAGTGCAAGTGCACAGTCAACAATGCGACAAAATATCATGCGTCTATATAGAGTGTTTGAAATATTTAACACACAAAAAGTCATTAAAATATAGATCAGTTATTGGATACTGGTGCACTGTTAGATGTTGCTTTCTGTGCACATCTTATGTTAAGTAAGACCTGAGGGTTGGTTTGGTTGTAGCGTGTAGGATATTGAGGAACAGCGGCATTATAGTATTATAATAGCATATTATTATTGATGATTATATTCGTCTTTAAGTAAAAGGTTATAATGATACAATATTATATGTTGGAGCCTTCGGATGTCTTAGGCGCCCAGTCCAGTTGAAGGAAGTCTAGAGCATGGGATGGATGTGCTTGGTGCTGGGATATAAGCTTCTCAACATCAGGCTGGAACTCACTAAGAATAAGTCGTAGATCCCCGCGATCAGTAATTTTCAGTCGGTTTCTTTGCTTGGAAAGAAGCAAGGCGACTGCACTGGAGCCCCGTTCTACTAAATATGATGTTGGGAAGGCAATAAAGTACATCTTGACCCTGTTCCACAGCACTTTATAGCAGTCAGAGATTTTTTTTTGTAACCAAAAATCTTGATATGACTTCTTGAACTTTGGCCTTAGCTCAATGTCATTTTGAATTGAAATCAGTTCTTCCTCTGCCACTCCAGTTTCTTCACCGTCGACATTTAGGAATGGATTAATCACCCAATCTGGTATTTCAAGCAATAAAATGTCCTCGAATCTCTCAGACATGTCTCTATGCAGTTCATCCAGGTGTGTACAATACACTTGAAGGTCATCGTCTGCTATGCCTTTTTCCTTATCCAATTCAGAGAGGCTTGGGAACTGGTAGAGTGCATGGCTAGCTATGTTTCGTTTGAATAACTGTAACTTGGTCAGGAAGGTGGAGATAGCCGATTTGACTTTAATTAGATTAGACTCATTTCCTTGCAGCTGCAAATTAATTTCATTGAACTTTGTGAATATATCTGCCAAATAAGCAATATCGTGCTTCATGTTTCTTAGTTCATCACACAGAACAGGATTGGAGTCATAGAAGAATTCAACAACTGTATCAAACAGTGAATAGAAACGTCCCAGGCAATTTCCCTTTGACAGCCATCTAACTTCTGTGTGCAAAAATAAACGTTCAAACTCTTCATCATTATCAGTGCACAGCTGACGAAACAGTCGGGAATTGGGGGCATGTACCTTGATATAATTTATTGCTGTGATAAAAGCACTCATTGATTTGTGCAGTCTACCACTCAGGTTTTTTGCAACCAGATGCTGCCTGTGGATTACACAGTGCACTGTAAGCACTCCAGGTACAGCTTTTTTCAAGAAATAAATGAAGCCACAATGACGACCTACCATTGATGGTGCCCCATCCGCTGCACAAGCAAGAATGTTGGAAAGTGGGACGTCTTTTTCTTTGAAAAAATCATCAACAACATGAAATACAGACTCCCCTTTTGTTTCTGTCTCAAGTTGTCTTGCAAATAACAGCTCTTGAACCAAGCTTTCATCTTTGATGAAACGAACATAAGCAAGAAGCAATGATTCATTGCCTGGCAGAGTGGACTCTTCTAACAGTAAACTAAATTCTGTTTTCCTAAGCATGTTACACAATGTTTCTTCAATATTTTCAGCCATTTCATCTATTCTTCCCTGAACACAGGTATCACTAAGAGGAATAGCTTTTATAATTTGGTCAGGTGACTCATGTAGAACTGTGTGTAGAACCTCTCTTATTGCTGGTAGAATAAGCTCTTCCCCAATTGTATGAGGCTTAGCAGATCTAGCAATCAGCAAAGAGATGTTGTATGATGCTCGCAAACCATCGGTAGATCGCTGTAAACTACTGGCAAACATATTTCCAAAGATTGTGCGCTTCTGAACTTTGTCTTGAAGTAACTGAAAATATGTTAAGTTTTTGTCTGCTTTATCAGAGTGCATTCTCTTCAAATGTTCCACAAGCCTTGAAGGTTTCATAGCTTCATTTGAAAACACTTTTTCACACAGTAGACACATTGGTTGTTGTTGGTTGTGTGGTGCTGGGATAAATCCATATTTCAGATATTCCACATTATATTGCCGACACTTCTTTTTTGTTTGCTGTATGAAGGCCATACTTTATTCTGGAACAAAAAATAAATAAAGCCATTTAAAATACAGCATTTTATCACATTTCATGGATAGGCCTACATAAAGACAAAAATGACAACATTGAAGGTATGAAAAGCAAGTTTACCCTCTCACATATTCATTATCTTCTATTTACTTACAGAAAATAGTGGCAGATGTGATCTAAGGCATGCCACCCGTGCAACCAACACAATGATACATGTGCAAACATGCATATATGCTAACACCCATGACACACAAGTAAAAAGACATACATTCTTAACAATATACTGGTATATCAGTGAATGCACCACCCTAACCAGCTGAACACAACATGGCACGTTCCACCATAACATTTGTCCAAATTTTTAACAGTAATGAAAAATCAATTAACTGAAGCCTCAATCTTAGTTATGAATGCATATATGCATACAGCATCACAGGGACAACATTGAACTGAGGCCTGAGGCTCAGTGCTCAGTGGCATGCCATGGGCTTGCAGTTCCCTGATAGGAAATAAACTCAGTTCATACATGTCTGATACTCATATGATAGGTATATATACTCTTTAAATATTTCAACATTTTCTTCTTCCTTTCATGTGTGTAATTTTGCATCAGGTTTGCCTAACTTTATTGTATGTAAAACAATCTTTTCTCAAGCATTCTATTTAGAGTAGTGATTGATGAAAAAACAGGTTTTTAATATTTTTGAAAATTTACACTAAAACCCAGGAGGTTAAAAAACAGATCTGGGTGGAAGCCCCATTGCTGGGAGCCATGCGCTGCATGTGTTGTGCACAAATTGTCGAACAAACGTTCAAACTTCTGACTTTGACTTTGGACTGACACCCCCCTACAGCCCCATTCTACATCTTTTCACCACCTCCCAAGGGTAGCAGTACCATCCACTTTTGGAACCGCTGCTCTAGAGCATATCCAAGGCCAAGGCCATTCTCTACTCTGAAGTTAAGTTAGCTTTACTGTCCTGTGTCAGCTGCGTGACATGGACAGGAGCTGTGTCAGGAGTTGATACCAACTTTGGTTCTTGCCCGTGACTGAGGTTTCCGGGTATAGACAGAGCTCATAGCCTCATATAGACTTGCTACCAAGGTGATAAGTCACTACTGGGTTGGATAAGGGAAGTATGACACACAAATATGTTTATGGACATATCACAATTAAGGAAATTAGCTTCTAACAAGTAAGATACTAATGAGGAAATATCCAAGGTCAAATGGTATTAAAAATCACCACCTGCCACATCCAAATTTATACATGAAAATTTTGTCAAACTTTTATTTGCAACATGTTAAGTTTATCTTGAACTGTGAATTGGCATTATGCTAATTTCTTAAACAGTAAGTTTTGCCTCAAATTTTGTGGATTTGACAATTTGATATAAATAATTTCTTATTAGAAATACTGGACAGTAAATATATTTTTGCCCACAATTTATACTTAGATACGTTGTATACGCTTGATGATTTTCATTCAAAAACTAAGGAAAAATTAAACTTCATTCAGAATCTGAATTTACTACTAACTTTCATTAGGATTTTGTGCATTTTAAAATTGAGACGCTTGTGTGAAGCCTTGCATCATAAACACAAATCATTAGAGTGAAGGTAAGACAAAATCTCAAGGTGTAGCAAGAATTTGGGTGCTCTTATTCAACTTCAACAAGGTCAAAATTTTCTGCTCGGAATGAGCTTCAAAATTTTTCAACTATTTACATTGTAGCCAGAGCATTTGTGGGTGAAGTCAACCCTATATAACCTACTTGTGTTGCCCAGGCAACTAAACAATCAGTGCAGAGCCATTGCCAACCCGGAATTGTCACAACTCACGAGGCTTGAAGGAATAACAAGTGAAGATTGCATATACATATATATATATATATATATATTGATGATCAGATTACAATTTAACCATTTTGCATGTAAGTTCCCATATATGGTAATTGAAATGGGAGCAAAAAAACACGCCCACATTTCTTTCAGCAGTCTGCCAACAAGCTCAAACCAATCACAGATTGTGTGGGAGTTACTTCATGTATGATGTTGCGCTCTGACGTGCTCCTGTGTCTGTCTGAGCTGACTAAAAAACTAAGTACTCTGCTGAAATGGCAAAAATGGCATTTCAGGCCCTAATTGTATTCACTTTAGCAGCTCTAGTCCACAAAGAACTGTTGGCAAGTCCATGATAGCTGCGAGTATCATAGTCAAAAACTTGCTTTATCAACTGATTGTGATGCCATTTACTTGAAGCAAATGCAAGATGGTGAAAAATAGTGTGATCATATATGTTCATATGCCTGCCAATGCTGAGAGATAGAAGTGACTATGTTTGGACATATGCCCGCTAGAGTTAAATTTCTACAGTGCTTGGTAAATAACCACTAAGGTTAGCCCTTAGTGGTTAGCTGTACTATGATTTGAGTCATGTTTTCTAGTCTAAGGTACCTATAGTTTACCACTTATTGCTTTCCCAGGCATTAACTGCAGTCCAAGCTCTTGGCATTTCCTTCACTACAGAAAATAGAGCCAACACAGTTGCAAGCAAGATGGTCTCTGCACTGAGCCAGACAATAATATGTCCTTCACCAATATTAAATCTTACTGATAATTTCTTCACAAGTTTTAGGTATATGTTGTATATGAATGCAACTCTTTACATGCAGCATGAATCTTTCATTGTATGGATGGTCAGGAAATATCTTGCCATAAAATGCTAGATATTCCTATAATTTAATTCATCTTGATTGCTTCCTCTGTATACCGTACATTATAATACAAGCATAAAAGAGCAATCAAGTAGTTTTCACAGATAAATAGTAAATTTTTAATGTCAAAATCAGCAAATTTTTCTTATGTTAACTGCAGTGTGGAATTCTAGAGGGATATTAAATTAACCAGTACACATAGCATATTGGAAAGCAGGACCAGAAAGCTTGGGAAGGCCATGAACTCAACACTTTCAGTCCATTATTTACATATAATATCCCTTTCCAGAATTCCAGCTGTGATTGGTTGATGGGATTGTGATTTTAGCCCTTTCAGCTTTCCAGCTGTGATTGGTTAATGGAATTTTAATGTTATCTGCTTTCTAGCTGTGATTGGTTGATGGGGATGCTTTCAAGCTGTGATTGCTTGATGCAGATGCTTTCAAGTTGTGATTGGTTGTGTCCATAAGCCCTGTCCCCATGGTGCAATTCTATAGGTTATTCAAAAGAACCTGGTCTTATGTCATTTTGAACCAATCAACGCTTCTTTACGGACCGATCATGTAACACAACCTTCCCCGGCAAAAGCTTTCTTACTTCTGAAGAAAGAGGCGGTTCGCTGTGTCAGCTGACACTTATTTGAATTTGAACACATGCATCGATTTGAAATCCTATATGCATAGTATACAAGTCAAAGAGCCTAAATTTTTAATATCTATTTAAAAAATGTACATTTCTGCATGGATTATAATGCTGTTAACATTAACAAACTTTGAATTATCTCTAATGCAAGAAATACTTGCTTAAACAATTTTATTTTCAATTTAAGTGACTGGATGCAAAAATCGGTTCGCAAGAACCAACATAGCCCTGAACAACAGTAATTTTGCTTGACATTAATTTCTAAATTAAAATGTATTTAGCCAGTATTTCTTGCATCAGAGATACTTCCAAGTATTTGAATGTTAACAGCATCAAAATCCACACAGAAACGTAAACTTTTAATAGGTTTTAGACTAAAATTTACACTCCTAGTCCAAAGAACTGAAAGCGATTTGAAATCAAAAATGACAAATGAATCGATCGCGCTTTCTGGCACCTTCTGTCACAGCTGTTTGCAGTTTCATTGCATTTTTTTAGCATAAGTTGCCAATACGTATTTAATGTATTTTTCCGTTGGTACAAAACTTACAAAATAACCTTGAATTATTGATTGCAAATTTCTTGCATTAGGTAAATGTTTATGATTCAAATTAATCATAGAAGTAGTATATCCATAATCCAATGTTGAATTAAAATTACCCATAGAAGCTTCACATACAGATGTCAGCACTAGCAGCGGCACTCAAATGAACTACTTTATTGTTAGTATCTTCACTAATAATATAATAATATCGTATTCTGTTTTGGTCTGGTCTCTTTAAAGTGTTCCAGCAACATATTTTCCATTACTAATTATTTAAATGTATCAACTTGTGGTGCAGTGAGATATTGAATTGTTCGAATTCTAAACAAAGGTGGCACGCCCACATTCAGATGCCAGTGCCAGCAGCGGCAATCAAATGAACTACTTTATTGTTAGTATCTTCACTAATAATATAATATTGTATTCTGCTTAGGCACAGTCTCTCAAAATGTTCCAGCAACATATTTTCCATTACTAATTATTTACATTTATTTATTTGTGGTGCAGCGAAAATGCGAAATATTGCATTGTTTGACGTCTTGTTGTGTGACGTGTTCTTGTGTTGTGTGACGTCACCGTAGGCCCGCCCTGCAAGCCATACGTAAACAAAGCCACAGCAGTGAATATATAAACAGTTTTCATTGCGATCAATGTTATTAGTGAATAATATTTTTGATTGTGATATTATAACATATTTCTGATTGTGAAATAATTTTGATTGTGATATTGACACTTGACAGTAGTGTCAACATTTGAACATCAAAGTTCCAACATCATGAGTTACGAGGTAAAAGTGAAAGGACTGAGTAGAGCTGGAAACATGGCTGAGGCTTAACCGATGTCATTATAATTTTATATGTCATTCATAGTGGCAATCGAGAACAAGTTTTTTTAGGGTAAACATCCCATTTCTGAACGCAAATTAAGCCTATGCATTGCAGACTAAATTTATGAACGCGAATGTTAAACAATCATAATTCAATTCATTAAAATCAGTTAACAAAAAATCTTAGTTTTTACGCACCAGACACCTCTGACTCATACGCTAGTAGAATCGAGGCAGACGACAGTGCATGACTGACTGTTGAGCTGAATAAAGGGTATTCAACCAAGTATTAAATTAAAATAATGCGGATTTATTGTTTTGTACGAATACTTTTTTCACCCGAAGAAGTGAACATGTTGCATTGTTTTTTGTTGCATTGAGATTTAATTTCTTTTGATAGAATTTTTGAAAACTATGCGTCTCTATACATAATTTAAATCACTTTTCCTGTTAAGTTTGTGTACTTACATACATTAAAATACGATTTTTCAAGTGTACGAATATTTATTTCCCCCCACTGTATATAATTCTTTTAACGCTTGCAGTAGTGTATTTTGAATAAATAGCTTTGTTGTTGGAAAGGTTAAGCTCGGTTTTGATTATAAAAACTTATGTGCATGAAACGTGCTACAAATTTGCTTTTATCGCGCTAGTTAAAATTGAAACGAATTTTGACAGCGCTCACAAAAAATATTGTTTGTATATAGCTTTTTTCTAAGCTTTATCATGATTGAAATTACTTAATTATGCTTATTACACCTGCTATGAAAATTTTTTCCAAAAAATTCATCCTAAAATTGTCGACGCGACAGGTCTGACAGAAGCGTGTGGGCCATCCCATAAGCGTGGCATAGCGTAGCCATCTTGATGCCACTTCGGCACAATTTTTTTCTCCATTTGTTAGCAATAGATATGAAATTTAATGCAGACATATAAATACTCATTGAGCAGTATGGATGTTTTTTTTTATATTCACGTCCTCTCGTCTTCAATTAATACGGCAAAAGAGTGGAACCTAACCTAGCCAAACTTAAACAAAACTGTTCAAATTGGGAGTAGAGGAATGAGGAAATATGAAAAAATATCCATGCCACAAAGCAATTGGCATTGAAAACTGTGTATTTAATTTCATAAATATTGATTACGAATAGAATGAATGGGCCGTGTCAAAACGGGATGGCAATAGTGCATGCTAACGCACAAGCAATTTTTTCGATGCTCTTATTTTTATTACCTATATTCAGGAAAATTTTTACAAGTAAAATCACATTTGAATAAGCGAACTGATATGACAGTTGCGAATGATTAGAAGGCATGATTATGCTGCCGGAGGTTAGTGCTTATGCTGCAATTAATTTCGTACTTTCTTCCGCAGCGCGAGAAAATAACATTCTAATCCGCGATCACTATGTAACGGCTAATTGCACGTCTAAATGCGTACCAAGCACAGTCACGCACTGGCATACATTTTGCAGTAATTCGATATAGACCAGGTCAAGAATTTGTAGTCGTTTAGTGTATCATTTAATAATGAACTTTTAATAGGGAGCTATTCCATTCGTCGTGCAAATTTACGTACTAACAGATTACAAGACTTACAGAAGTGGTATTTTAAATGATGAAAAGTGAACGAGTGAAGTGATTAAAAGTGAACAAGTCCAAATAGTGTTTCCCCAATTCCTAGATTGCCACTATGATGTCATTGATATCATTCTGGAACCAACATAAGTAAAGTAAAGTAACTAAGGAATTTCCCAGTTCAAATATTTATTGATTTACTTATATCAATTTCGAAACTCCACATATTTCTAGAGGGAGTTGTGATGACACCATGGGGTCAAACCGTTGAGTTTAGACCATTGGCAACTTGCAAGAGGGGCCCAAGAGCCAAGGGCATGGTGCCTTGCGAAGGGTTAAGACCGCCGCATGGCAGTGGACCGCCATAAGTACCTCTCTTCATAGAATTCCACTATGCCCGCCCCCAAATATGGTATATGTTCTACAGTACTGGTCAACTAAATACTTAACTTAAAGTCTTAAACTTGATAATTACAAACAAAGGACCTGGAAAATCTTCAAAAAATCAATTAAATAAAATAAAGATATCTATCAAACACAAGACATCCAAATAATTCTATAACAAATCGAATGCACTCTGCAATTGAAACAATTTGTCCACTTGTGATCCTCCTTTCCATTTATAGTCAGTCACCTGGCAGAGCACTGTATCAAAGGAAAGCTTTTCACCTTGGGTGGAAAGCTTTTTTATAAGTGAACCTCCATTTCTAGAATTCCACCCTGCTTCGAATTCCAGCCTGACCTTAAGGCTTAAGCCAGCAAGCACACATATATGATCACTTCATTTACTGCGATTTACTACTTACATATATATGATAATTTTTGAAAAATGCATAGGAGCAAATATATCTTAGAATTGGTCATACTTTTAAGTTTTAAGACAATCGTCAAATACTGCCATTTCAAAAGTGGTCTAGGTGTATTGGGAATAATATATTAACCGTCAATTTTAGAATTCCATCCAGCCCAGTTAGCTAAGAAATGTACAATATAATAAAATTTGGGAATTAACAAGCATTGGCTGCCAAAATATACCTAACTTCTACAAAATAAGAAGATTGGGATAACAGAGCACAAAATGATCACTAATCAGTGTGAATCAGGTAACATGGTAATATAATAAAGGAAAAATTCATAGATTTTTCACTTTAATTGTATAGCCTAAATTGTATTCCACATATATTTATATGTTTTTTTTTATAATTTTTTCTCTTTTCAGCTGTATAATTTTTATTACCAGAGGAAATTTTTTTTCCTGCACAAAACTAGTATATGTAATTACATGATAGCTAAAACAACAGAACCATTACATTTATACTTTATAGTACCATACAAAAGTCAAAACACAATAAGAATAACGGAACAATGGGAACATTAACTCATCATGAACAGAACTTGATTAATTGAACAAATGAATGTATTGAGAGTAGATATTAACAGATATACACATACACTAACGAATAACGATTAGTGACATTCGGGTCCCTAACAACCTATTATATGTAAATTGGTACAAACTACGAGTCTACGACTCACCGTCACGACTCACGGCGTCACCTGGCGTGTTGCAAACAGTCGAGTCCGTGTGTAGACTGTAGAGTGTTTACTGTTTACTAGAATCCTAGGAAGCAAGTTTCATTGCCCTAAAATGGAAAAGGATAGATATAATTACCCTAAAAATTTCCATTGACTTAATATAATTTTGAGAAATTTGGAGAAGTGATAAAATTAATAAGTTACCCGGTACTAACATTCACTTTCTCGGTTATATTGAGCGTCAAAAAATACTTTTTTGGAGCGAAATTGGATACCGATGAACCGTATTGGAATTCTGTACAAATGAACAATCAATTCAGACTTATCTACGATCACCATTCAATTCTGGAGGCAGCGCAGCCGTGCACCACCAATTTTGTGCACCAATAAGCCATGAATCGAACGCCTTGGATCTCTCCGGACCTACACCAATCAGCCGTGCACAACTCGGCTTTGTCCTCTTCCGGCCTTGACCACCACCTGCCGTGAACCACCAGGCCGAGGCTACGTTCCGGAAGGCAGGAATCATGATGGTCCATTACATCCAGGGCAGTGGTGGTCTTCGGCAGGCGACCCAATTCTGGACATCAATATCGATTGAAACGGGGCCTTCATTGCGTTAGGATCGTTTACACACAATCTGCTAATACTTAATGGAGAATAAAACAGAGCAATATCTGTAAGTTCATTAAAAAAAACATTTTTATTACACCAAAATGTAAACTATTCCGTGTAGAATGCAGATAGTTTATGGCACTTCAGGGGTTCTCATGCAATCGAATTAAAAATATTCAACACCACTTGAGTAAAGCAAAAAACTAAAGTTCACAAATACTCTTATGGTTTGGAGATATAAATAATTAACATAACTAAACATTGTGATGTCGGCGCTGAAGTGTAGGCCTGATGTGGCCTGACGCTGATTCGTTTCCTTTGCGTGTCTAGTTCACAGAAGATCTAAAATCGTGTCATTTGACCGGATCTTTTCATGACTGACGATAGTTTGAAATAGCTACAAGACTTCCACCGGGTTCGATATGGTGCTAGGTATTTCAAGTCTGAACATATATTTTTCCATAGCTTTATCTACAGTGCCGGAAATGGCTATACGACCACCCAGTTTTCTCCAAATATTTTTCTTGCACCAAAAATATGGGATTCTAATTATAGGAGGTTGAACTACGTTTAAAAACGGTTCCAACGCTATGCGAAAAAAAAATTCTCAAAATATATGAGTAGAAATGATGAAAATTAAAAAAAAAAACCTAGGTGGAAATGGTTATAAGACCATGATATGTTTTTCCGTTTGTGGATCACATGCACTCGCAGAGTTATTCTAAAATGTATCCCTTCAGTGTTCTAAAAATCTACGTCAACGTCATGAGTTACCTCCGACTTGTCTTTAAATTCCAATAAACCTTTTCAACCTCGAATAGAAAAATTTTATGAAGAGTATACGGTCTTCACGTTATTTTTGTAACAGCGAACTGTTTACTTTGTAAAGAGTTCTACTTTATTTCAGGAAATATCTACCTGACCCGCACTCATCTTGCCATCAGCCGGTTACATAAATGAAAAATTAAAGAATTTTTTTTTAATTGCGCGTTGTCGAGTCTATGTTAAATATCACAGTTGAATCGACACCAAAACACACCGGCAAAAAACGAGTTTTGAACCCTCTCGTCTATAAATAATACTAATGTCCTCTAATATTATTATTACTAAATAATATTAGACTAATAATATTAGACTAATAATATTATTATTAATACTAATAATAATAATAAGCGAGACTCAATTAAAGCAGTTGCGTATCGATGTCAAGGCCACAAGTACGTAGGGAGAAATAATATGATGTTATAGAAAGTTAGTGCTAAGGATGCGCCTCAACAGAAGTTTTCAACCGTACTTTCGTTAATATAGTTTGCCTTTTCCAGTAGCCATACAAGGTATTTTTAGTGACGTTGATTGGCAGCAGCCGAAAGTTACTTCACAATTCAAAAGTAATCATCGAGTGTCAGAGAGAGCTAAAGAAAGAAGTTTAATTAGTGCTCGGTGGTACCAATAGGTGGTACTGTAACCACTGGGCAGGGTGGCCCAGTGGTTAAAGTTCAGAGTACCAAGATTAGAGCAAAGAGGCGCGGGTTCGATCCCAGCTCTGTGCGCCAGTTCCTGGTCAGAATCGGCGAGGAGGCCGGGCGGTTAAGCACAGAAGAATTGCAGCAGTGAGTTGCGCGTTCGAGACCGCAAAATGCTGTGAATGTTCTGCGATGTTAAGAATCAGCGACAGGCCTACGGCCTAATAAACGCTGAAACCGCTATTATTATTATCAATAGAATATATTTGAGAGATGTCTGTGACAGATACAACCGGAGCGACACTCTTCTTAATTTCCTTTTCCTCTCTCTTACTTTGGCAACTTACGAAGGTTTTATGCGAAACATTCTTCAATTAATCAAGCGAGCACTGAAGCACGATTGATTTAATTTCCATCTAACCCAAGTAATAACAATATGAGACTAGATTTCGAAGCCAGTTGTTGAATATATTTAACATCAATGCGCATCAGCCCTGGACAAGCTGAAAGCCTTCGGTTCAAAATCCGCTTAAATTAAAAAAAAGTGTATTTCTTATTAATGACTCTATTCCAATTTTAGATTCTTGATGTCGATTTATTTTTTTCAATAATAACATGACCTGAACCGCTTTGCAATATAATATTTCTGATTCAAAAGTTTGAAAAATATTCAACAAGTGAAGCAAGGAACGTGCCAATTGGTAAAAATCGTTTCTTGTTGCTATCATGCGAACATTGAAGGCTGGAAAACGATACTTGCTATCCTTTCTAAGCGTTTTTTATACTAAGGGAACTGCATAATTAAAATCCCACAAATTTGTGTGCGGGCAAAATATTTCGAAGAGATTTGTCCCTTTATAAAGATTTATCAACACACCGAGTATATGTACAAGAAAAATTTGGGATCATTATAGAACCCCGGTGAATGAAATATTTTCCTAAATTTGACCTGAAATTATATTCCCAAACCCCCTCAACCCCCCAGACATTCGCCTCGTTTAATCTCAATTGCAGAACTACTAATTTTTCAAGTGTAATGGCGGAGATTCTTCTTCTTTAAACATAATGCTAGGACATAATGTATTTGATCAGAAGTCAAATAGATAAGTATTTGACGCCCAGCAACGAGTACAAGCGGACAATTTTCCTATGTTTGCTTAATAAATATCTTCCTGAACTCAAGCGCAATTTTAGTTTGCAATATGAATTAGCATCGTTGATTATAAGCGCATGCTATCCAGAGCTCGGCCATAAATTATATTTTTATTTTATATGCATAGCCAAACGACGGCATAAAGTCTTTAACGCCTTGCACCAATTTGCTATTTTTTATAATTATCAAAGCCGTTAAATTCGGGGGGCAAACTTTAAATTTTTCATTGCAAAATATTTCTTCTATGAACTGAAATAAGCTTGTAACGAATTTATATTTTGAATATTCTAAAGACGTTTTTGCTGCAGTTTTGATGACCGACTAATATATATTTTTCAAAAAATATTTCAGAGGCAAAAGTCACCTACTCTGCTCACCATGCAAATTTTATAAGCTTTAAATGGCAATAACATTCGTTGGATTCATAATTATGCAATATAACATCACAGTAATTTTTCTGTCACAAATGGCAAAATTACTGTACCGGATCCATTAATAGGTTTTGAATTAAATGAGCAAGTTTTGTTTTTCTCATATTCTCAAAGATAAAAGTCATTTTATTCAAGTCATACTATGCATACTGTAAAATAATTTTCATCGTGGGAGAAACTAAATCCGTTCTGTTTCAAGCCAGAAACATTCAAGCCCTCGAATTCAATGTGTTCTAAATAGAAAATACAAAAAACTCTCTAGCGCTGGACTATTTTTGCCGGAACGCCTAGATATATATTATGTTTCGTTCAAGTAAGTAATGGTCGAAACGTTAACGAACTCGAATGATCCAATTAGGTGGTCTGTAGTACCTTGTCTTTAAGAAAAATTAGTCCCATCAACAAGGTCAGAATTAGCGCTACGAAGATTTGGAGAAGTGTGTGGATTAACCCTGTGTTATGTGTTAACTAAGGGTATACGGTTGTCAGGCTTTCAGTAAGGAATGGCATCGAGAAGGGTAAATGAATGGTTAGACGAATGCTTAACACCGGATCAACAAACTGTAATTCTAACAATCATAACTTAAAGTACGAAAATCATCGACAACGTTAAACACATCCACTGACAAAGTATGAACTTTCCCCATAGGTGATGAAAGCTCAATTCCCGTCGAACATCTTTAAACGTCTATCAACATAATCGAAAGAATACAGATTTTTCAAAAGATTGTTTTTTTTTGTCCAGCGCTTTATCAATACCTGCATTGTTGTGTGGCATTTCAGCTTTAAGAAGCGGTGACTCAGACAGACTTAACGAGAGCATATCCTGTTATACATTTTAGGCGCTCTTAAATCACTTGTAGCCGAGTCACCCCTCCCTTCCAACGTCCGATGTGTGCTCAGTAATTATGTTAAGGCGTCAGATGCTAATTAGGATTTACTCGTACCGAGGATATTACGCTTATAACCTTCTCGGGCAGTCGAGGAGCTGCGCCATGCTTGAGGAATGATGTGTCATGAGTAATAAGGAATGGGGCACTCGGTTGTGGGAATGAAGAACCATGATGAATTAAGATGATGACACTGTTTAGGGGTATGGTACGCTAGATTCGAGGAATGAGGCGCAATGAGAATGAGAAAAAAGCGTCATTATCGAGGAATGTACAATGGGGCGCCATGTTTGAGGAATGAGGCGCGTTGAGGAATGAGGCACTCTGTATTGGGAATGGGGAATGAACAAACAGCACATTGAGCACAACGCCACTATTCGGGCCTCATTTTCTGTATTTTTTAAATTCTTTAAACAATACACAGACAATACATCTATGTATCTTTAATGTAAAATATCCTTATTAATAGGTAAATATGGCATACGTTTACCTCAAAGTAGGTGTAAGTATTGTAGTCGTTCGCTCACATACAACTGATAATAGCCGATAAGTAACACTCCTGCATTTCTTACAGAACTTTCTAATCGTTGATATAATAATCAAAATATCATTAATTTAATGATATAATTATTCCAATATACCATATGAAACTTGAGGTACTGGCTCGCTTGTTCAACTGGGCGGCTAAATGTATGTTAAATCAGCAATAATTCGGTAGTGAAAAACAAGTATTTATTACATGAGGAAATGAGTAAACTCTGGCATGTCAAAACTATATAAATGAGACTCATTTACCTATACACAAACTGACGGGAATTGAACGTCTAAGGCAATTAATTGTTTATATTGGGTAATTAAGAAGACATAGCGTGGCCATTGGCATAGGCTATTTGTTCTCTGTCGACCACAAGCAGCAATGCATTGCTGGCTTCAGCATGACGCAGTTCTCATAACATATACTGAGGAAAATACAAGCTTATGTACATACGGCCGTAGTTTTGTTATGCTTTAGAATAGAATAGAAGTGTCGGCACTGAAGAAATAGGCCCATGGCCTGTTTTAATGACATCATTTAGCTTGTTCTTTTTTTAACAGGACTTATTCATTGTTATTGTTTTTTTATGTTATTTATATGTTTTATGTTATTATTTTTATTTATTTATGTTTTTTATCTTATTATTCTTTTCTTTTACTTATTCATTGACGTCAATCCTGAACTTGGCGATTTTGTATCCTCTAAGTACCTATTCTGCATCCTTACTTTGACAGGATGCCTCCACTTGGGTTCCCTACTATCACGGGAAGTTATAAGCTCAAGTCATATAACTACGGGTATATATAAACGTTTGACGTTATGATCTTAATAATATATTTATATAAACATATGACAAGACTAATATGTAGGTACCATTGCATTGTTCACTCACACGTCGCGTTGTTCACATTGTCAGGCAACGCACACCATGTCCAACAGCAACGTACAAGATGCATAAAAACTTATTTATCAAATTTGATGGTAACAATGCTAGAAGATATACATGCTTGACAATTAAATTGTATAGAAATTAGTCGCGTATACGGATATGTCTTTCAAGCAAAATTAAGCCCTGGACAGCCCAATAAGAAAGCTGTCGCACCGCTGTAAAAACCCTCGAAAAAAGTATTGCTAAAAATGCAAAAAAGAACCCGAAAGCCTTCTTTTTATACGCTAGCTCGAAGTGCAAGATGAAGGACGGTATTTCTGATTTGAAAGTAGATCAGCGAAAACAATCGTCAGTTATGGAAAGATCGGGTTCCAAAGGCCGGATCCCTTGTGAATCAAGTCACGAAAAGTTCAAGAATCGGCAACAGGCCATGGGCCTATTTCTTCAACGCCGACACTTCTATTCTATTCTATTCTATAATAAGCTCAATTCAGCTCAGTTCTATACGCCCTGTAAAAACATACCCTCAGTGTCTAAATAATGCTAAACAGCCTGGAAAATTGCACATCGTTATATCATAGCCATTAAATACGATGATTCTGATAAGCCATTAATGCATTGAAAAACGATCTACGATCGCACAGATCAATCGTGACGGTCGATGTTCACACAGGACAATCTTGACGGTCGATGGTCACACAAGACAATCGTGACGGTCGATGATCGCACAGGACAATCGTGACGGTCGATGGTCGCACAGGACAATCGTGACGGTCGATGGTCGCACAAGACAATCGTGACGGTCGATAGCCGCAATGGACCATTGCGACGGCCGATGGTCGTAATGGACCATTGCGACGGTCGATGGTCGTAATGGACCATTGCGACGGTCGATGGTCGCAATGGACCATTGTGACGGTCGATGGTCGTAATGGACCATCGTGACGGTCGATGGTTGTAAATAACCATCGTGACGGTCGATGGTTGTAAATAACCATTGTGCCGGTTGAAGGTCGCACAAGACCATCGCCTGGTCATATCGCCTGCGATAGGTCATCATGCACACGCTATTCAGCAATTACGGCTCGATAGTGTGACTCAGAGCCACCGCGATCTTTTGATGCTAATGCGTCAAGTAAACAGGAAAAACATTCAAATTTGTAAAGCTAACAGCGAAACCATGTCTGTGTGTAAAGTAAACGAAGAAAACGTACCCATGTAGAAAGATAATAGGAAAAACGTGCCCGTGCATAAAGTAAACAGGAAAAATATGCTCGTGTAAAAATAAACGTAAGAAACGCGTCCATCATAAATACACCCGCTGAGTTCATGTTTCGATTAGACTCTAAGTTGCCCCTATGATTTGAGGTGCGTATTTCTAGCGCAGTCGAAATCAATTGATGTCGTAAAACAATTTATTGTTATATCCAGACATAATTTATGTAATTATTATCGAATATCACGTCATGAATATCCGCACAACTAAAGGCTCATCACTGGATATTTGATATCGAATACAATCGTATATGGCATAAATTTTAAAAATTTATATTGATATACTATAATTGAATTTTAATAATGCAAAAATTTCATACTTTATAAATGCATTCAAAATCCTGTTTTGGAGTCACGTTATGGGACCTAAATACATACAAAATTCATGATTACGCATCCAAATCACATTCATAACATCGTGAACGAGGTTCTAAACTAAATGATTTTGAGAAATCACTGATAACATTCGTTCAACTCATTGAACTGTCGGTAAGTTTTGCATCGGTGAAGCAGTTTTGCGCAATGGTCAAAAATGCGTCGCATACTCAAGTTGTGGTAACTGATATGCTTCATTTCTATTCATTCATGGGAATCTTGGTTTTTAATTAAACTGGAGCGCTAAAAGCTGTTGAATAATTTTAGGCTGGTACGGAAGGTGCAGCTTAAGTTGCGATAGAGCGATGCGTGATCTATTTAAAATTTAATTTAATCTGATTTAATCAATTAATTTATTTGCGCAAATAAATAATGTAGATTCAAAAGATTGTTCTGCGCACCCATGAGCGCAGTCCCATAATGTCCAAAATTTCATTGTTTTCGGAATATTTTGGTCGTTGAAATGGGACTGCAAACTGAAAGAAACAGTTTACCGTTCATGCTACGTGTTGATATTTACTAAAATAATTTTAATTTTGTACTGCGTGTACAATATGGCACAATCTGTGTCATTTTTTCCATCATGATCCAAGCAGTCAACAAATTTCGCGCAAGGGTTCATTGACTGCGTGGATAACATTCATGATTTTCTCCATCGTTGTTCTCATTCGGAAGGCCATCTTAAAGGGGAACTTGATTAGGTTTGCAATTCGCATAATCCCCGCAAATCTCTCGGTCATTTGAGTAGTATGGATTCATTATCCGGTCACCATCAACACCACCTTTGCCGCATCCAGGGGGGTCTTTTTCAAACTCCAAGTACACTGGGAGGTCGTGAGAAGTTTGGAGGATCTCAGTAGATTCGTCCAAGACATATGTGTTCTCTGACGCCTTGCTTCGGAATGTTTCAGTTTCGCGGCTCGGGAGGACCAGAAGCGACTGAGGAGGTCGATTCGCTGGCGCTTCTCCAATTTTCTCAAGGGATTTATCTGCGAAAAAGACTTCGATGAATATAATAGTCGTCATCAAACGCTTGCTAAAAATTGTAGCCTGATATATATTCAATTTGTAACCAACATGTTTATTTTAAATTGATGGTTAAAATTATCGTGAAGAAGCACAAGCGTAATAATTTCATCCGTCAACTATTTGCCTAAACATTAAGTACTTTCCCGGTTACTAAAACTAGGTTAAATACAACTAAAGTAATTTATATTAAATCTTAAAAGAATTTAAATGATGATAAGACTCAAATACTCAATCCAAGCGTGAGAAAGCATTGTAACTTTCTTTTGGAAGTAGTAAAATTGGTGCTGCTCGACATATAACAGCAAGTAGGGAAATTTATTGAATAGTTGATGTGTCCTTTTCTTTAACTATGGAAGAAGGGTGTTAAACGTTGTAGTACATTTCCCGTTTCTTTTTAATAAAACATTTAACTGAGATAACAGCAAAACACTTGAAGAGTTATTCGTCATAATCACGAAAGGTTCCTTCATGAAAGGTAACACTTACTTTTATCGTAAACTATTTTGAATCCGATGCCAAGTCCGCAAGCAATGATCATCGTCAGCACGAGAAAAGTCAGTGCAGTTACCGCGGTCTGCGTGTACTCTGCGCAGGGGCGGGGCGTTTCGGCGCCCACAATCTGGCACGTTACGACACTCGTCGAGTTACCCCTCAAAGCTTCGATGATCTCGCTACATTCCAACGTTTCATTGTCGACACGTATTTTGTAGTTTATTGTGCTAGAATATGCCATAATAAAGTACTAAGATGACCACACAGCAAAGGAAATTTATTGGAAAGCGTAGTGAGTCTTCAATGCTAGTTAATCTTCGTAATACTTTGCATCAGAACAGCATCTGCGAAAGAACAAGAATTATGTCTTTAAACAAGTTAAAAATTTGCAACTTATGTTTACAAATAAATATACTTTTATCCTACTATATTCAATGAAACAAATTTAATTATCCCTTAAATCTATATAGAATCTAGATTAGTGGTTCCATATCAGTGGAAGGATGTTGAAATGTGACGTGTCATATGAGCGTCAGGTTCGCAAAAAAATCACCACTAAAAATAAATAATGGTGAATAAATAATAGAATGCAAGTGCATAACGCGTATTTTACCATAATTAAAGTAGAATTGTTTTAATTGTCTGGACGCGTTTTTAGTTAATATACAGATTGTTATATATTTATTTGTATTTTATTGACACTAATCTACATTTCTGGGTAGTTCAGGATATTCTAGATTCCGTTTTATACTAGTTTATTCTTCAATTCCGAAGTCTATTCGACATCACATAGATTCTTGATAATCAGAACTGAACATGACCTAGGTTAGAACAATAGCATGGATAACTATAACATTAACCTCTCACCTAGCAACTCGATCAATACCGACAATACGCACATAATTCAAAATCGATTCAAATCGCATTGAATTTCTTTTTCTGAGTGTACATCACTTAAGTCTGGCATAAAATGGTCTCAGCCTGACTTGACCAAATATTTCCTAACAAAATTCAATTATATGTCAAATTTTTTGGTACACCTGAACACGTGAAACTTAAATCGAAAAAATAAGACGTGCACCATGCATATTATTAGACTAATTACGCCGAAGCAGGAGCATTAATTACCACTAGACTATTTTCAACGTGATAGCAATATTAATTACTATTAAAAGAATTGCACAATGTGAGAACTATCGATTATTATAAGACTGTCTGCACCGCGAAAAGAATATTAATTACCATCGAACTATTTGCACTGCGGCATGACCATTAATCATCATTAGACTATTTACAACCCAGCATGGCCATTAATTATCCTAAGACTATCTATACCATCACGTCAAGAATTTTAAAGCGGAGAAAACAGCCAAATAAATACCATTTCTAATGAGAGAACACGTTTCCGAGTTCATCTCCATCGTCGTTCAGAAATCCATAACGCAAATGCAAACAAATTTGACCTGTGAATTTTAAAGTCCCTGTATATTCTTTATCAGAAGCCTAGTTTAAATGCAGCCTACAGTTCATATCCCCTCGAAATTGTAAATAAATGGGTTTGTCTGTTCATGTCTACTTCATTTTTATATGTTTTCTCTTGACGATTTAGGTTTCAATATCTTCAATGTGAATTTCAGTTTGCTAATTTTTTGTACACGTGTTCTAGATTTTTTTAACCGGCGATGGAGCTTGATCCGGAAATGTGTTCTCTAATTATAAATGGTGAATTTTTTGGGCAGTTTTCTCTGCTTTTTAATTCATGATGATTTTAAGATTTAAGCTATCAAGTGATCTTAACACTTATTAACACGACTGTTGGACAAAGGCGACTGCATGGTGTGCGTGACAAGCGACTGCCGACGCCTGCCTCGCAAGCCGGCGGATGAGGCTCTTCCGGTCGAGATTACTGCACGCGCCTTAGCCTCGCTCTGCTTCAATTTTGCTCGCTTGATAAAGGTCTTGAGAGTAAATAATAATAAATTATCAATAATTAGAGTGTTTTTCTTTGCAATGAAGGATGCAAAAGAACATTTCAGAACCAGATGTGATGGTAAATTTCTTTGTGAATGATTGCACTATAAACGTAATAGTGCCCCGCTTCTCCTGACAATGGCAAATGCGGGCCATTGTTTCATTCAGTGTCTACTGATATTTGTCAACATTTCATTCTTCCTTACTATTTGCCCATCATTTCTAACTATTATTCATCAGTCCTGACTATATTTCTATCTTTCATGATTATTTTTTCATCATATGTGACTATTCCTCCATCATTCGCGATTATTTAGTCCATCATTCGTGACTATTTATCTATCATTCGTGACTATTTCTTCCATCAATAATAACTATTTTGTCTATCAATCGTGACGATAATGACCGCTAACCAAAGCTGTCCATTACCAACTACCGTCCATTACCGTCTAATATTGTGGAGCTTCACTACGGCATTCGTTGGCTAACTTTCAAAATAATCGATTAAAGTAAAAAATTTGAATTTCTGTCGAGCGTGGAGGATCTAATGTTGATGTAGAGTTTTCCGACAAAAAAGCTGTCCAGAAGGTCACGTTTATATCAAATGAAGACTCGCACTATTTTTCGCACATATGATATCTACGATATTAGTTGTTTTATTTTTTATTATTAATTCATTGTATTATTATTATTTTTCATTAATATATTGTAATAATAAGCTACTCAGAGGGAGACAGCAGACATTAGGCACATTGCCATTTCAAGAGGTGTCGGACAAATTTACGGCCGGACTCGCGGTCGGTCTCGCGGCCGGTCTCACGGTCAATCACCAAATTCAATGACCAAGGAATATCTTCCAATCTAATGAACGCGGCTCGATGAAACTTGGTACACGTATTTATTATGACCTAACGGTAATATGTTTAACTCTTGAATTTTTTCATTCACCTTCATTCCTGAGTTATAGAACAATTCGGGCCAAAATTTGAAGTGACCAAGAAATTTCTTCTTAACTACTTAACAGATTTGAATGAAACTTTGAATATACAAACCCAACCTCCCAACGGTCATGTTTAGCTCGTGTCAATTTTTTAGATTTTTTCCTCGTTTGCGAGTTATATGGCTACACGAATACGGTTCTTTGTCAATCCAAATTTAGAATCGGCTTCAGAAATGTCAGTCGTTTCTCCGTATGTCCGTATAACTCACGAACGAAGGCAAAATCGAAAAAAAATTGTCACGAGCTAAACATCACCAATGGGAGGTTAGGTTTGTTGTTCAAAGTTTCGTTCAAATCTGTTCAGTAGTTTAGGAGAATTTTCTTGGTCACTGCAAATTTCGACACGAATTTCCGTATAATTCACGTACGAATGTGAAATGAAAAAAATCCGCAAACAAAGGCAAAACCGAAAAAAAATTGTCACCGGCTAAACATCACCGTTGGAAGGTTAGGAATATAGAATCTAAGTTTCGTTCAAATCTGTTCAGTAGTTTCAACGAAGTTTCTTGGTCACTGCAAATTGCGGTACGAATTGCCGTATAATTCACGGTTGAAGTAAAATGAAAACGAGCTAAATATCACCAATGGGAGGTTAGGTTTGTTGTTCAAATTTCGTTCAAATCTGTTCAGTAGTTTCCAAGAAATTTCTTTGTCACTGCAAATTTCAGCACAAATTGCCGTATAATTCACGGATAAAGTAAAATAGAAAAAATTTACTTGCTAAATATCACCGTTAGGTCTTGCTCAATGCGTGTACCAAGTTTCATCGAGCTGCGTTCATTAGTTTAAGAGATATTCCTTAGTCACTGAATTTGGAGGATTTGCCGTGAGACAGGACGCATGACCGGCCGTAAATTTGTCCGAGACGTCATTTTCAAGTGTCATTGCTATGGATAAGCTTGCCCAACATGACTGGCCTATAGCTGCATGTATGATGAAGAAAGCCAAGAGAATCTTATTCCTCGGCACGATCAAGTTATGCCACAACTCGTTAGTAATCTCCAAATCATTCTTTTGGTGTTCATTTCAAATTTATATCTAACGTACTTATGGACCTAGAAAGTTTTTCAAGTTCCTCTAATAGCTTTAGTAATTACCCTATAATTTTGCCGATCGCGGTTGATGTGTTAGCATAGCATAGAAATGTCGGCGCTGATCGAAGAACAGGGCCAACAGGCTTTATGTTGCCTGTCGCAAATTCTGGAATAGGAAACGTTATTTCTAACGATATTAAATATACTGCATAATAATCAATGCAATTTTATGACGGTCTTATTTTTGGTTATGAATCGTTCAAAAGTATAAGCAGTATAATGTGCTCTGCAGATTAATTATCCTAATTTATATAAAGAACCCTATAAATTATTTTTTTATCTATATTAAAGATCAATATCTGTTATGTATGCTTGACACTGAGCCCTAGTAAATAATTTATGAGTAGTGATTTTACTCTAGAACCAGAGATAAAGTTGCGCTGGATACATGCGTTTATGCAATGATAACAGCTTATTTCTTGCACAGTAGTAACAGCACAGAGGACGTATTTGCTACAAGCAAAATCACCGCGAAAATGGGTGTCTTGACAACATTATTTCAATGCGCTCAGTCGCCATTTTTAAAGGGCAGACAAATTTTCAGATGCCTTTCGTTAAATATTTCGACTCGTGTAGATTGTAGTGGCATTTTGTCTCCAGTTGCCACACCATTCAACAACGATGAATCAATTAACTTCGATAAATTGGCCGAGAATTTAGATGAATGGAATAAAACTGACTTGAAAGGCAAGTAATTTTTAAGCTTTCATTCATTTCAAGAATAACAGTTTTCTAAAAATATTTGTTATTTCTTCACTGGCAATTTTTTTCTCGTACTAAAATATAAAAACAAACGCTAAACAGTACTAGTAGCTTACCCACTAGACTTGAAAAGCTTAATTAAAATATTAGGTACTTGCCACCCATTACCCACCAGATTTACGGCACATAACCCGCCAGTCGACACTCAGCCACTGTCAACTTGTAAGGTCTTGTTACTCGTCCACAAAAATCTCATTAGCGGGCTTCCATAAAATCCCCTCCAATACAAGCGTAAAATATACGAAATTCTGGATACAGATAGGAATAGCATCAAGTCAACAAGTAACATTAGCCTAGGTAGGTAAGGTAGTAGTAGGTATATTGGTCACAGCCTCTCACAGGTGAGGTCAGAACTACCGGTAGGTATAATTTTGACATGGTTCTAAACTTCTATTGGTGCATAATGACAACAAGCAATTTTGATCTTGTTAGACACTGTTCCTTTCTCATTCAAAGGTTGGTATTATTACTATCAAATCTGGAATATCAAGCAGAAGTTTCCAAAAGGGATGAATGAAAATGATTTTTGAAAGGTGATTTTTGATGAGTTGCAGTCTTGCAGGCAAAAATGTATAAATTTTTTTTATCTATGTAAACTAATGAAAGAAATTGGGCAGACTACCACCCATAGAAATAGGGAAAAACTGTACATACATAAATCATGGAAATTTTATTTTACTTTGTTCGTGAATGGACTGGATGTGATAGCATATAGTGATGGCAAGCTAGATAAATTGGAATTGGTACAAAATAGAGTGGCGAGATTGGCACTAGGAGCCCCCCAGGTGGACTGCAGTAGAGGCCCTGAGAGGAGACATGGGTTGGAGTACCTTCAAGGAAAGAAGAATGAGCAGTTTTGAGGTATAAAGTGAGACTGGAGCGAATGGATGATGAACGTTGGGCTCGAAAGATGTATATGTGGAACATGAAGGTGAGCAAATGGGCACGCAGATGTTGGGTAGTGGTGCGCATAGTGACAAACCAGAGCCTTTTTAGAATCAGTTCATTTTTAATTTCCTCATTTACTCAAGATTTAAACCAATTTCTTAAATATGATAAAGCTGGTATCCATGATACTTTACTGGTCTACTTATAGAACTCAATAATGAACTTGAGGGAGAGTCTAAAAAACTCTCTGCTTTGCCACTATGACTGGTGCGTAAGTGTGGCATGCATGAAGCCAGAAGCATGGGTGCGCCAAAGGCCCGCTGGGCCAAAGGACGAATGGGTGGTGACAGTACGGGGTGCGATTGGGATTTGGGATAGAGTGGGATGAAAAAGAGTGGAAAAGAGAAATAAATGAGCGAGTGAAAGACTATGGGCTGAAGGTATGGAAGCAAGGAATGGAGGGAAAGGACTCTCTAAGACTGTATCAGATGAAAGCGATGCCAAAATATGAATGTACATATGTTTGATGGTAGTAGAGGTTGGGACCTTCTGTTTTGTGTTAGGGCAGGTGCGGTGCGCTAGGTGTGAATGGACGTACATACAGGTGGAATGAAAGGAGAGAAGATAAATGTTTTATGTGTGATGGGGATGAGAAGGAAACTGTAGAGCACTTGTTGATGGAATGTGGGGCGTATGAGAGAGAGCGTCAGTCTACGATTGAGGTGATTCTGAATGAGACAGGTGAGACCCAACGAGGTGGGGCATGAGAGAACAAGCGAAGAGTGGATGGCAATAATTACGGGTCGGTCTGAGGGAGCAACTGCGGCTATGTTTGAGAGTGTGAAGAGATATTTGGAAAACGTGTGGATGATGAGGGAGAGGAGGAGGATGATAAGAGTGGAGTCTTGAGTGGAGGGTTGACAGAGGGGAGGGTGGGAAGACGTGTGAACGTGCCAAATTGTTTTAGTACGTGGTTTTAATTTTTTGCGATTGTCAAATTTTTATATTTTTTCTTAGGACAGCTGTGAATATGGTATATTTGAACTTTTTTGTTAACATAAGAGTGTGAACTTTTAATTTTTTTTTTGATGCTAGTAAAAGTTTTTTTAGGCAGCGTGTATGACCGATTTAAAGGTCATGACCGTAGGTCACCACGCACCCCAATTCCAATTCCATGTCTTCTGCCCAATTTTCCAGCTTTACTTGATGTGGTGAACTTGTGAAGATAGAATAAAATTTAGTTGAATGAATAAATGAGTTGAATTTGTGAATATCATAATATGTCATGGTAGCAATGTTGACAATTAGACAACTTCATTAGAGGCTCTGAGCTGCTCATACTTTGCTATAAGTTATTAGTTTCATAGACTCTTTCATCCATGGTGAGTGGTAACCAACAAGGGACTTTAGAATCTGTATAATTTGATCCAGTAATTTTTCCAGTTCAATATTGTATAGAACAATGAAGGTACAGCCGTACAGATAGGGTCTCTGAGGCTGACATCCCACCCTCACTGGAACTGGAAGTGGGAAGGGCAACCAAAAACTCTTGTTTGTCACTAGGCCTTCATTCTACTTTTTTTCATTGCTTAATTTGTTGCATGGTAATATTTTTTAACTAGCAATCATTTTGGTTTCTCTTTGTTCTTACAAATTCAAGCAATCTATTGTTAATACTGCAATTAGATAATGAGGGTTGAAGTTTTAACCTCCAAATGCTCATTTCAGGATATCTGGTCCAAGGCAGCAATGGAGAGACAGTTTCACTGTCCACTGAAGAAAGGCTGCTGCTCATCAAGCAAGCCCGCACCTTCATTCCTAGAAACAAGATACTTCTTGCTGGAGCTGGGTGTGAAGGTTGGTAATGTTTATTCATTATTATACAAATTGACAGGTATTACACACATATATATATATTAGACAGTACAAGAATAATCACCAAATTGCATTTGAAACTTGAATAAAAAATGCATTGTAAATCCAGATGTCATCCAACTAAATCAATTGCATTGATAATGAGCCATATCACTTAGTGGCATATCACTAGCACTGTAAGTGTAGCACATATTTTCTTCTGATTTTTCTAAAGGTTCTTTATACATGTAAGTAATGAATATAGTATCAGTACCAAAAAGCTAAGAGCTAATAGTGGTTTTAGGCTTTTAGCAAATGATATTTTGCCATGCATCTATTGTGTCTTGTGCCATTCTAGTACATTCTTTCATACAATATATTAAGTTTGGGTGGTTCAGTGGTAACACTGGGCAGGGTGTCCTGGTGATAACAGTGCAGAGTAACAAAATAGGAGCACTGAGTTGCAGGTTTTATCCCAGCTACCTATGACTATTCTGGTCTGAATTGTCTAGGATATAGGATGGTTTAAGTGAATTGTGTGTTTAAACTCTCAAAACTGAGAGAATTCTGCTAAGTCTCAGGTTGGTAGCAGGTCACATTTGGCCTTAGTAGTACCGTACAGCATATATCAGTACCTTAATTTGTATTTGTTTTGGGGTTCTTGACATTAGCAATTGTTCTCGGTTATTTTTTAACACGTTTTTCTTAGCTTAGCTTCGCGTTTGTTTGTTGTTAACATTGACAACGAAAATTAGCCCACTTCTGATTGTTCTAGAGATCTGAAATTCGGCATGCAGGCTATTTTCGCCTAACAATTTCAGATACAATCATAAAAACTAGTAATTAGAGACCTAAATTGGTTTAATTGAGTAAAGTATATATATAGTATGACGTGCGGGCGCTCACGTTAAGTACGTTCACCATCAAATTTCCAAAATTTAAAAATTTGCCCGACACACGTTTTTTTGGGGCGAACCATAATTTATTTTCTACTTTTTAGTCCACAAGAAAAACGTGGTTTTTTTAAAAAGTTTTTTTTAAGTATTTTATTGAATGATTAAGATAGCCAAGCATTGATTCAAGTACCTAATTGAAATATTATTTGTGTTTAAATTGTTATGAATTGTCTAACTTCCTTCATTTTATGTCAGGTACTATGAACACTATCAAGATGTGTGAAGAAATGGCTGCTGCAGGAGCTGATGCCGTGATGCTGGTTTCCCCTTCATTTTACAAGTCTGGATTAAATGTTGGTAAATTATCCATAATTTTGCTCTAATTTCTGTGATCAAGATGTTTTATGATTAATTGACACACGAATTGATTGTGGGCAAATGTACCAAGGTGAATTAAAAAGTTGCAAATTATTCTTATTCGTCCGACAGAATTACAGTTAGTTTGAACGCTACGGATTTTAAGAAGCTGATAATATTTTTTGTTCTTTGATGCTCCCAGGACCGGTCATTGATTCACCACTATTCAGCCGTGGCCGACCGGTGTCCTCTGCCTGTCTTCTTGTACTCAGTGCCTGCTTACACTGGTAACATTTTCTCTGATGTATCCTTTGTTTTCAATATAGAACTCCTCGTGTCATGGATCTTGCTATTCTTCCTTCTATTTACATTTTTCCGAGTTCTAGATGTAATAATCGACACAGTTCACTTCCACAGTGTTTTTGCTTTATATTGATTTTTTATCTCTATGCCAAGAAGTTGGAAACACGATTCTTAGAGCAAATGAAGTTGTAACCCATGCTAACCCTGTGCAGGTGTAGATTTAAGTGTCGCAGCAATTAGAACGCTGAGTCAGCATCCCAACATTTGTGGTATTAAGGACAGCGGTGGTGATGTCACCAAATTAGCTGCTCTCGTTCACGTCACTGCAGGCAACAACTTCCAGGTGATAATTTATTTCTTGATTTGTTGTGATGATGCAGAGCAGAATACTGTACGTATTTTGCATCATCAAATCTTGGCTTGCTTAGTTTTTCTCTCCCACAATGGTTTACTGGCTTGCGCGATCTGGCGTTATAGGGGCTAGCAAATTTAGGATTCTTGTTTTACGTACTTCTAGAACCGAGTGTTAGAAGAGACCTGTTTTGATGCAGTGGAATGACTTACGGTTAGTGTATATATAGGTTAATTATGCCCAAGTCCTTTACCGTTTGATGTGTAGTCATTCTCATCACGTCAACCATTGTTCAATTTTCTCTCAGGTGCTGGCTGGATCTGCGGGATATCTTCTTGCCGCGCTGCACGTTGGTTGCGTGGGTGCCATATGTGGTCTGGCCAACGTGCTGCCCCGGGAGCTGTGCCAGCTTTTCGACTTGTTCGTCGCTACCACGTCTGGCACTGCCCACGCTGCCGCGTCTGAAGCCTTGTCACTCCAGCGACGACTAATTGAACCCAACTCAGCCGTGACCAAAACACTTGGAGTCCCTGCCATGAAATTCGCCATGGACATCATGGGTTACTATGGAGGCCCAACGAGATCGCCTCTCTTACCGCTACTTGCTGATCAGCAAGAGGCTGTGAAGACATTGTTCAATGAATTTTTGTAATCACGAGAGTTCGCACAACGCTCTTCTTTCATTCAATTTCGGAATTTTACATCTTGTCGCTGCAAAATGTTTTGATTAAGATGACCAGAAGAAATTCAGCGCCACTAAACAAAACTTCGAAAATTATTTCACTGAATGAATGCTGTTTCAGCTTTGCTGATCGAGTGTTATTGCAGTGACAAACGGTATTCCCAGATTCTTAAATAGTGTTTCGTTCCATTTTATAAATGAAACGAACCGATTCCCTAGTCAGTGCTTGTAAACCGTATGCATGATGAATTGCAGGGAACTATTTTGCAGAAAGTAAGACCTAAACATGTTTAGAATTTATTTATATATATATATATATAAATATTCAAGAGTTGCTACTTTTTGCATATATTTCTTTTTACATGAAGAACCTCTGATATATATCAAGACTAGTTATCTCCACAATAACGTGCCATGTTATGATTGATACTTAGATTAAAGCTCTCTGATGTTCCGCCCTTTTGGTCTATTCGGTAATTATGCTCAAGGAAAAATGGCAGATAAGGCTCATTTAATATTTTGCATGCTAATGTTTTGTACAGTCGTAAATTTAAGGTATAATTTTTATAACCACGGATCAAGATTGGTGTCATGGTTTTCCAGAAGCCGCCTCATGGGTTTCAGCGTTCCACTATTGTTCCTTTTGCGCCCCACTACAGAGCTTGCATTGTCTAACTGTGGGTCAAGTTGTTGTGTTGGCAATATTTCATGCAATTTATTACACTGTCACCCTCGTGCGGCGACTGACGTCTCGTGTAAGCGACCTTTTGCACGAGTGTTTTCAGTAGGCCGCACAATTGTGTCGTGTCGAAGATGAGGCCTAGGGTTTTCGGGTTGTGGTTGAGCGGCAGCACCTGATTGTTGATTTCCACTTACATGGGTGGCAATTGTATTGAGCTGTGTGAGGAGTGATTAGCGTGACTGTTGACTTGGTAGCTGGAAATTCGAGGTTGCGTTGGGTGAAGGTCAGCTCTGGCAGGTAGTTGTTGAGTTGTTCGGTAAGTCGTATGGTGTCGCGTCCGGTTGTGTATATGGTGAATTCGTCTACGTAAGAGATGAATTTGATGTTCGGCGGAGGTGGTGGGGCTTTGAAAACGTAGTGGTTGAAGAGTGACGGGGGCAGCACGGATTCTTGTGGTACCCCAGTGTGGCTGATGCGATGTTTCGGTTATGGATGCTGAGCTTATCTACATGAACGCTGAGCGTCCATGTAGATAGTTGGTGATCCAGCGGGCGACTGAACGGGGCAGGGTTGAATCGAGAAGATCGTTGACGAGTGTTCGATGGTTGACGATATAGAAGGCTTTGCTGGTGTCCAGTGCAGTGGGCAGGTTTCTTTTGGTTGAATCTATTGGTGATGTTTGTCAGGAGAACGAAAGCCGAGGTGGTAGAGTGTCAGGGTCTAAAATCATATTGGTGACCGGCAAGGGTAAGGTATTCGTTGGCGATTAGCAGGATGCATTTTTCGAGAACTTTGACAGCTTGGCAGAGGAAAGAGATTGGTCGGTACGAGGCGGCTTGGTCTTGTTTACCGGGTTTAAGTAGATGGATAATTTTAGCGGTTTTGTAGATTGCGGGTATTCGGCAAGCTCTGAGCGACTCGTTGAACATTTTGGTCAGGTAGGTTATTCCGTGAGGACAGAGGTGCTTTAGGTAGTGGACTGTCAAATGTGGGGCAGTCAGCCAAGTCGAGTCGTGAAAAGCCTGTTGAATTTTTTGGCCAGTTTCTTATAGTTGTTTAAAGGCTTTCCGTTGAAGGTGATCGCATCGCATGGGTTAAAGCTTGGGTTTTCTGTTTAGGGCTGCTATGGTTGTCCAGAGGCGTTACACGTTAGTGTGGCGGTTGAAGGTGTCGAGGTATTCTTTCCAGCGGCTGGTTTTGAGGTTGTTGGTGAGGCGGTTGATTTGGGTCATCATGTTGGCAATGGTTGGTGAAGAGGGGCTTGTTGAGCGGAGCGTGTCTCGTTGTTTTATGAGGTCGGTTATTTCTTTTGACAAGTCGGGTTTGCAGGTGATGTGACGGCCAGATGGAATGTTGCTTTTCCTTGCGTTGAGTAATGTTAGTCGAAAGAATTTTTAAGCTGCGGAGACGTCAGGCGGGAGGTCAGCTGTGCGAAAGACCTGTTTGGTTTCGAGGGTGAATATTTTCCTGTCAGCATTTGCAAAGTTCTTGAGTGTGATTTTAGGGGGTTTGGTGTTGTAGAAGTCAGCTTGCAGGGTGACGTGTATCGGTAGGTGGTCGAAGGCTAGAGCTGTGGCGGTGGTCCACGCCTTGTGTGAGATCAGGGTGTCCGAGGCGATTGAGATGTCCGGAGATGTAGGTTGTCCGTTGCTGAGTCGCCGGGTCGGGGTGTCCATGTTAAGCGTGCCGCTGTTGAAGTTACCGAGTTCGTTGGCCAGGTAGTCGCCACGGGCTTCTTGAATTTTTGAGTGCCAGAGTGGGTCGTCAGCGTTCAGGTCGCCAAGGATTATTATGTTAGGCACCTAATACAAGTAGATCTATTTGCTGTTGCATTCTCACCCGCTCCATGCGATACCTTCCACTTATAGGTTCTGAGTAATTGTGCCAAACGGTGCGCGATGAGTTGACTGTCCAATTGCTTTATTGCTGTCAATTTTCATATATTATCGTTTTTTAAGGTTCTTTTGTTTTTCATTCTTGGGTGCTATTTTTAAATTAAGCATTAGATTGAATTACTAAAAAATAGTTCAAACGCGTAAAAACTAAGAAATTTTTGAACATTCTATGTATATTTTTGAAATTATATGTTATGGGATATTTTTTCGGAGAATTTAATATTTTTTCTAAAAAATGAAAAATATATACGTACGGCTGGGCGAATTTATTGTTATCCTATGCGCTACAATGCCAGTTGTAGTGCCACAATCAGTTGCCACTTGCCACTCAGCAGAAACTGCTTAGTGCACGTACCTCGCCGCGCGGTCCTTAAAACCGGTAATATTGGTCAGAACTGCGATTTGTAGGGTTCGGTAACCGCATAATGACTACGAAGCTGTTTTGATCACGCTAGACAGATGTGCTTGAGCTTTCTTTGTAAAATATATCGTTTCTATTGAAGGCCGGTGACTAGAGCTACTGGTGAGGTTATCGACATTGGCTATATTGTGTCCAAATCAGTAGTAAATCAGAAATAACTACGACTTAATACATTTAATTTTGTAGCGAGAATATTAACTTGCTATGAATTGCCAAAAAATCAAATCTTTCAAATTAAGCCTGCCGAACGCTTTTGGTTGTTTTACAAGAGAGGTACTATATCTTGGATTGCTGAGTGAGGATCGAAACCCACAGGGAAACACCAGCCTGACTCGGATGAGATTGCATTTTTAGATTGGAAAGTAGCATTGCAACCTGTGGGTCAAACCAAATAGCCCATGTAAACGACACAATGTTGTATAAAATTGAAATATCACTCAAATTGATATCCATTAGCTTTTGATCACTTTTTTAAATGCACTATACGGGGTCCGCCATATTTATGGCAACGCATGTTTTTTTTTATTTCTCAATGGAACAAACAGGTGCATTGTTTTTTCATTGGATGAGCTAGTAGCCAAGAATTACCTAAACAACTCTCAGACATATTTATTCAATGTGACCACCCTTATTTTTAATGACGTCCTCCAATCTACGCGGGAAAGCATACAGGAGACACGCAGCATTTATTGAGAGATCAAGTCCCATTCTCGTGTCAATTTAGACTTCAAACTATCCAAAGAACCATGAAGTGTTCTGCAGACCCTACTCTCTAAAATAGCCCACACAGAAAAGTCGATAGGATTCAAATCCTGAGCTTCTTGAGGGCCATTAATTTTTGCTAATGAAAGCTGGGATATGACCCTGAATCCAGTTTTGGGTCATGTTTGAGCCATGTGATGGGGCAGAGTCTTGTTGAAAACTCCAAGGTGAGCCGTTGAAGTGTTCACGGGCTTAGTGTAACAACACAGCTTCCAAAATGTCCGAAATGTATCGCTGACTGTTCAATTTCACTCTTGAGGGGACAAAAACGAGTGGGGACCTCCCAGTGGCGGTTACCGCGGCCCAAACCACCACGGACATGGAATTTTGACGTCGTGTTGCTGTTTTGGTTGTCACAGATCAATCCCGACTCCAATCTCTGTCGTATGACGGTCAATGCTTTGTTCAATGTCAAATTTTTTCTCGTCACTGAACACCAAGTTGGGCAGCGTGCCATCCTCAATGAGATCCAGAATGTGCTGGCATCTTTCGAGCCTCATTCGTTCATGACGGTCTGTTAGTTCATGCCTTGTTTGCATCCCGTAAGGGGAGGTTTTGAGGTCATCTTTGAGCACTCTACGCATTGATGTCTGACTGACTCCTGCTTCTGCAGCCAATTTTGCAGCTGAGCGACGAAGGTTTCTCCTCAACTTCTCCTTCGTGTTTTTGACCAATTGTTTTGTTCGGATACTTCGTTCCCTTCCTTGACCAGATCGATTGCATGTTTCACCAGTTTTCTTGAATTTTTTTTTACCACCTTCCACACAATTTCACGACGAATTTGAAGCTATTATGCAATGGCTGAATTACTCTCGCACTTTTCATGAAGGGTTACAATTGCATTTCTATCTACTGCCATAAGTAATAGTTAATTTAGACACCTTAGACTTCTGCATTATAAAATAAATGAATTAATAGATGATATTAAGCTTCAATATAAAGCAGGTTTCGGTAAAAAATACGAATGAGGTTCCTCTTTAACCAATTAATAACAATATATTAGCTTTCTCAGCGTTTATTAGGCCCTAGGCCTGTCGCCGATTCTTAACATTGAAGAATATTCACAGCATGTTGCGGTCTCGAACTCGCAACTCACTGCTACAATTCCGCCTTGCTTAACCGCCCGGCCTCCTCGCCGATTCTGACCAGACACTGGCGCACAGAGCAGGGTTCGAACCCGCACCTCTCCAATCACTCGCACCCTGTCCAATCACTGGACAGGGTGGTCAATCAATTCCCTCGAAGCGGTACCACACGGTACCACTCAATTTGCTTATGAAAAATTTTTTTTCAGTTACGTACACCCGAGTAAGAACTCGTTTAAAACTTGTTCTAGGTCCGGGCTTCCCTGTTGAGTCGTCAGTTAATAACTTTCAAGTTCCGTGTTACGCCACAGTGCTGTTGCAGTGAAGTTCTTAACGCAGGTAGTGAATCACAGGTTAAGATTTGAAGATTTATGAGTGAAAAGGTTGCCGAAAGTAAGCATTCAACGTGTTAATTAAAAAAAATTAATGTAAAAATAATTATGACGGCGCTCCCGGTTCCATTGAGCGTATCGTTAATAAAAAAAACTATATTTTTAATTAGAACCTAATCGGTTACGATTTGAGGATTTTATGCGTTAGATTTATTTTTATCCGTTTTTTTTTTCTTCTCGTAGTGTCCAGTAACGCTAAGTTTTGGCCTCTTTGCACTCCTAACTAGTAACTTAGCGTGTAGCGCACTACGTGGAAAACGACAATTCTGACAACGCAAAAATTTATTGTGAATAAATAGCTTCTCTGCTAATAAGGTCAAGATCGGTTTCGATTTGGAAGATGTATGTGTGGAAAACCTGATAAAACTTAGCTTTTAGAGCGATAATTAAGATCGAATCGGACAAAAAAATCTGACAACGCTTACAGGAGCGTCATGTCTATAAATAGCATCGTTGTAGTTAGGTTTAGATCGGTTTCAATTTTACCGGTAGACTTAGTGTTGAGAACACTACAATCTACAAGGAAACGAAGCGGAAAAAATACGTAATTCTGACAACGCCCGTGGGAGTGTTTTGTGGATGAATATGTTTGTCATTGATTAATTGGTTTCAATTTTAAAATGTTATGCGTGAAAACACGTTGAATCTAAGCAGATTAAAGAAATTTTGCCAGTGCTAGCATATGCTTAATGCCAATAAATATTAATATATCTATATTCATTTTTTCCTGATTGGTTTCAATTTTGCAGACTCATGCTCTGAATCCATGTGTTGAAAACCTACTGAATCACACATTCAGTGGTAAACCTGCTAAGGAAATTTGTCCCAGTAGTATCGAAGTGGTTAAATCCATGGTTGAATTAATGCATATATTATATTCATTCAACCATGGTTAAATCCTTACCAAATTCCGGGCCAAAAGTGTTAATGCGGTCCTGTTTTATTAGTATATAACGCGTTGTCTGCGTGTTGGGAAATTGCGGAAACTTTAGGGTACAAAGAGTTTTAAAATTTGTACCATTCATAAATAATTTCTGACATTTCTCTTGTCAATTGATAAAATTTAAACAAATGATTTCTTGGTTCAAAACTTTCCGGAATGACCATAGAAGCTTCTTCATAACAGTCGGTTGCCTCTACGAAGCCAACGCATTGTAAACGTACTAATTTCACTTTCATGTTTCAAATAATTTAGGCCACTGCATTTAAATAAATAGAATTATAGCAAGCTATCGCATCAACCATGAAACTACAGCAGTATAGCTCTTCCTCACTGCTCTGTCAAATACCCTAAATTCAGCGTTTTTGGGGTATTTGTCTGGGTCGAATTTGACGCATGCGCTTCACTTCTTGACTCTAGACTCTAGAGTTGGCGTGCATACTGAGGAGGGAGCACACAAGAGGGGGCAGAGAACATATTTGGCTGCATTTTCACTTGGTACGTTTTGACTTCATTCATCTCGGTTGAAATTTTCTAACCATGTGCATTTTTTATGTCTATTGATCGCTATACATTATCTCGTGTAGTTCAATACTAGATTAGTTTTATCGTTGAAAAATGCCGGATTGTCAGGACCAGACTTTACCGGTACGGCGGTACTTGCATAGCTATTTTTTCACTTTACGTCTTCTCTACAATTGAAATCGGAAGAAATAATGTTCTGTGACTTCAAAAATCTTTAACTTACTTCTAATAAAGACGAGCAAAAAAATGTGCATCAAGTAAGTAGTAAGAATCTTTGAAAAAGTCTTCTTTTTCACTCTCTTGATCTGTTTTCCAGTCCGAATGTCAACAAATGATGTGAGCCTATTTCTAGAATTGCTCTGTACTGTACTAACTGTAGGCCAGTTTAGGTCAGCTCAGCCTCCACAGCTGGGAGCTGGCAGCAGTATCATCTAGCCTACCCAACAGCTGACTTCAGCTTTCAATTCCAGTCACATCCAGTGTTTTCAACAAGTTGTACAGCATAGTGACAAGACAAAGCAGAGAGTTTTTTAGAATCTCCCTCAAGTTCATTTTTGAGTCCTATAAGTAGACCAGAAAAGTATCATGCATACCAGCTTTATCATACATATGAAATTGGTTCAAATCTTGAGTAAATGAGGAAATTAAAAAATGAACCGATTCTAAAAAATCTCTGGTTTGCCACTATGACTGGTGATAATAATGTACAGTACTCTTATGCTTGATCTAACTCAAAGTCCAAACTCCAAAGGCAAGAGATCTCAAGACTCAATAGGCAATACCTAGGTGAATAGGGTAAACGCTGTATATTCCAACATTGTGGGTAATTCTGACACTTCTCAACTTTTAACCTTTATATCAAGCTTTGAAATAATTTCAAAGCTTAATATAAAGGTTAAATTAATTATATAATTTATATATTCCATACTTTAACCTTTATATAATTAATATAAAGGTTAAAGTGTGGAATTCTGTATAGGACAGGTAATATATTGAATTATATTCTCATGTTAATATAAGAAAATGTATTGAAAAACCATCCCTACGGGACCCTACCACCAGGATGGAATTCTAATTTCGAAGGTTCATATATTTCGATCCACTAAGACCACTTTTTCTACCCAACATCGTTATTTGAGGCAAAAAATGAACTTCTTAAAGGCTTAAAACATGTACACTAACTTGCTCAGTTTCTATAAAGTACCTAATCACTTTGAAGTTGTATGCCTGCACCTTTCACTCAACAATTAAAATTAGACTTATAAAAAGTATTAGTTAGTTGAAAATTTGTCTCTTAAGTTGACCACAGTGAACTAAACTTCATTAAGTAATTAGGGTAAACACGGTATATTCCGACATCGTAGGTAATTCCGTCACCTCTCCAGCTTTTCCTTTATATTAAGCTTTGTTTTAGTTCCATGCGTTTGTTGATGGTTGAAATGGTGACGTCATGCATTTGCGCATCAAAATACTGCCAAAACACTAGGTCTTGGCCATCTAGTGGGAAAATATTGAGATCCAAAGAGAGACAATGCATGCCACCTGGTGAGATCATCGAAAAATGTGTAAAATTTGACAGTTGACCTTGCTCTACCAAATAGTGAATAACTGTTTTTATAGGAAGAATATTATGGTTTGAGACTTTTAAATACGTCTGTGAATGTATTAGGAATCCTTTAAGTATACTTGTATTCGCTGATTTCAAGTCTTAAATAAATTAATAGATGATGAAGTTGAGAAATGGATTTAGACACATGAAAACTAATTCCGACACAACTTGAATTGGACACACAGTGGCACACACAGATCGTTCAAAGCTTTGTACAAAAATTGAAATTTGCTTAATTAAAAGCCTAATAGCTGTTAATTAAAACGTAATTAAGTAGTGTTCAATATTCGTTAGTGTTCTAATTCAAAGCCGTGTTGTATCCCAATACAGCTCACACAGCGAACGGAATTCGAACACGTGGATGTCGGCATTAGGTATCAGTTAAATTTGAAGCGCTGACGCAATACGACTCACCACGTGTCGAATATTGCCACACACAGTGACGGAATATAGGGATTTGGTAGGTTTCCATTCTAAAGGCTTTTTAATAAATATGGCAACATTTTGTGACGTTTTATTGTTGCTGACGTGTAGTGAAGTGTTTTGAGAGTCACGTGAAGGCAACAGAACTTGCGTAACGCATACGTTTTTTTTTATAGTTTTTCATTTCTCGATACGTCCTTAATGTGTCGGAATATACCGCGTTTACCTATAACTACGTTGCAAAGCAGAGTTTTCCATCATGCACACTAAACACACAATTCAGAGTTCAGACGAGCAGAACTACATATCAAGTGGGCTAACGTGCAACTGAATTAAATACCTAGCTTCTTTCACGCCTCCCGCTCCAGGTGCATAATCTAGCGGGATGATCAATGCAGACGGTAACCAAGTCCGACTAATCATTCATATATTTAGTGCAAGAGAATGAATAATTATGTTGTTTCTGATCAAACGAACAGAAATTTTTCTTTTTCTGATCAAACAAAAACTTCTGATGAAACAAACAAAAACAAACTTTTTGAAGATGATTCTGAAAGCGTAACGTCTAACGAATTCTAATACGGATCATTAATTTTAGCATCGTATTTCCAAAAATCAAGTATTGCATTTCTTTTAATTGAAAAACATTCTTTTACATCAAAAACAACTAATTTTTTCTTACAGCTCCTCACGAATGATGAATGAATGCTCCTCATATTGATGAATGATGATCTCGCCCATATAGCTAAAAATTTTAAATTTAATTATTTTGTCATTTCAAAGACTCCATTGATTATAGAACTTTAGTTTTTGGAAGTGTATTCAAGAAAAGTTTCTGAAATAGTAGGAACATTTCCATTATCATTCTGAAATAGAAGCGTCATTTACGTACTTATATTTAAACAGAATTAATAAAATACCTATCAAATCCATCCAATGTCTTTCAATTTGTGATGTATGAACGACAGTTTTACTTTCATTCCCATGATGCTCATTTTACTGGTTGAAGCTGTAGATTTTAATTAAATTAAAAAATTAATTAAATTTGAATTTTACTAAATCAAATTTTATTATTTAATACACTAGATGGTACATGCTGTAGAATTAAATTCTATTGGAAAAATGTTGAATTAAAAATCTGATTATATTTTTTAAAATTAATTAATTTTTATTAAATCAAATTGTATTATTAATGCACTATATGGTACATGCTCTGTTTTATATAATGAAATAATTTCCCATTTCAAACAACAAACATTTTCTAGACGACACAAAACATTAAAAAATGCGCGATGGCAGACGAAATCATTCAGAATTTGAAGTGAATTTATCAAGATGAATTCAACATAATAGGGCAAAAAATGGAAAAAAATTCAAATCTGGAGTGTTAAATGGGTTTTTATAATTCAAAAAACGTTAAATCATTTAAATTTCAGAATGGAATGTGAATCAAATCTATTTATTGTGAAATCAAACTAGACACAACCAAAACAAAAGTGTGTGTGACACCATCTTGTAATAAGTTAATGTAGAAGCATGATGTGAACGTACGCAGTGAAACAGTGGCAGTTTATCTCATAATTTTGTGTGATATCAAAACTCTGTTGGTATTGTCCAATCGTGAGAATTTTTTACAAATGTGGATTTTTTTTCATTTTAGAACGTATTCATTGCAAAAATGTGTCCACTAGCCTACAGATAAACGACTAGTTAACTTGATTAGTCGTTGGCAACACGGGATTGGATTTCAAACCACTTGTGATTTGGGAAGCGCAGCAGTTTCTAATGAGCTCAGTTTATCAATTTTCACTGCATTGAAAGGTGGTGTCATGTGGTGGTAGGGTTGGTTTTTCAATACGTTTTCTTATATTAACATGAGAATATATTACCTATACAGAAATTCCACACTGTCTCGTGGCAATTTTTTTTATTTTTCCTTCGTTTGCGAGTTATATGGCTATCTGTATATGGCACATTGTTAATGCAAATTAAAAAATTGGCCTTTAAAATTCCGGTCATTTATCCTTATGTCCGTATAACTCGCAAACGAAAGCAAAATAAAAAAAATTTCACAAGCTGGGAGGTTAGGACTGTGTATTTAAAGTCTCATTGAATCTATCTATTAGGCAGTTTAGAAGAAATTTCTTGTTCACTGCAAATTTTGGCCCTAATTGTGGTGTACCTCATGCCAATATTTTTAGTTTTGTATTATTTTGATTAGTTTAGCTGCTTCAACATTTCTACGAAATGTGGGATGTGCTTCCTGATTTATCCTGCCTGTCCCTTATTATCCCATTTGACAGTATTTAATTGTGAAAGAAAAATGTGGTTCTGTTTGGTTTATATTATATTGTTTCTATTGAAGGCTAAAGTGCTGCTGCTGACATTAATGGTATTAATGGTTGGCCAGGGCCTTGAAAATGTGTGAAATTGATTGTAAGCTGGGTGTTTCTCACTCATGGGTGACTTCTACCTAAGTTTCTAGTTTATGGAAAATGCAATCATTTTACTGTATCGCGGGTGTTATCCCCAAAGTATAAAATTGGATAAAAGTCACCCAGAAATTAGTTGAAAATGCTCATACATGCAGTCATTTCTCAAGTTCCTATAACCCATAATTTACCATCTTTTCAATAATTGACATAATTTCAAACCACTTAACAATGTATTAATGCAGATCTAATGATCACTTGATGGTCTAGAAGTTAACCTGCATTGCAATATAATATTTACAGGTAGGCTGCAGTGAGGCCCAGTGGAGTGTGGTCTGTTCTCCCATCACTTGTGAGGACCATCCTACGGTACACAACCAACCATCATTGTGTGGATGATTACTACTCATCTAATTCACCTGAAGTTCCCTATCATCCCTCCAACAAACTACTCCACACCTTGAAGCACAATGTATCACAGCACGGAACAAGCTTCTGTTGATGTAAGTGTGGTACTCATTTCATTTGTTAGTTGTGAATTATATGAATTTTCCTGATACTTGTTTGAATGTAGAAACATGTATATTTGTAGGTATAACTGCTGTACTCATTGGTATTGTTTGATTTTACAAAAGATTATTGTTCTCCTTAATATTCTTGGTTTAGATTGTTCCCTCTGCAGTTGAAAATTTGTTTGATATTAGATTTACTAGATTTTGATATTTGATATAAGTGCAGAAAAACTACCATAAATCTCAATCCAACAATATATTTTTCTCCATAATTTTTTCAGTTTTATCTGTGTTTCAGTAAAAAAATTGCTTAAAAGTGGTTTGAATTTTAATTTGCTCAGACCCTGGCAGCATCTCTACCATGCAAGACGCCCGTGTCGCTGCTGCAGGAGCTGTGCATGCGGCGGGGAATATCACCCAAGTATGACTTGCTTCAAATTGAGGGTGCTGTTCATGAGCCCACCTTTGTGTACAGAGTTACTGTTGGAGAATTTATTGGTGAGTCTTGCACTGGCCTAAGATTAGGTATTGATTAAACAAGATAACTTCTAAAACTCCATCTAGAATAGTTAATTAATTAAAATGACGAATAAGTTTATATTAGAAAGTGTCATCACAAGAAAAGCTTCCACGTTCCTGATTAACCCAGGGTAATTATTGACTTATTGCGCCAGTAATTCAAGTATTTGTGTTAATTTTGAATGAATAATAAAATAATTTTTTTGAGATTCAAGTTGAATTTTGTACTGAACTAAATTTTGGGCTTTAGGACTTCAATTATTGCTGGTATGCATTAAATTTTTAGTTATTGTGCTTGCAGGTAATTGTTGAACTGTAGTAGGTATTTTCTAATTTTATTTGCATCTTGAATTTGTGACGAAACTTTATTATACATGAAGTAGAAAATGTTACTGATGAGAGATGAGTCAATATTAGGAATTTCTTCCAAAATTTTAGCAAATTATCAATATTAGTATAGAAGGGGTAATTTTCCTTCCATTTCTCAGCAAATGGTTCGGGGCAGAGCAAAAAGAAAGCCAAACACGCAGCTGCCAAGGCTGTGCTTGATATTATCATACATGGAGGCTCTCCACCCGCTGCCACCAGCAGCTCCCAGCTCAATTCTGCGGACTCAACCATCCCTTCTGCTGTCAGCGCCGGCAGTAGCAACCATGCTGACTTGTGAGTAGTCCCTGGACTGCAAGAGTTATGACGTAGGTATAATAACTGACCATAACCATATGACTGGCGTGGGGGAGTCGAGTTAAGGCTTAAAAAATGATCATGTGTGTGAAGGAGTTGTCAAGTAATTTTACACAGTCTAATAGTTTTATTTTATGAGATCGCTACTATTGGAATTAATGGAAAGCAAAATTATTGGTTGAAACCAAAGCTGGCCAGTGATCAACGATAACTTTGTAAAATCTGTAGGCATCAATACCATATTTCACTCCATTTTACTTAAATTGCATATTATAATTGATATTTTTGATTTTTTGTATCCGGCTTCAAATTATAAGGTCAGGTTTCTCTGTGCGAGACTCATTTAATTAAATAATTTTTGTGTTAGAAAGGATAACCCAATGTTTCTTCTTTTAATCAGTGTTTTAGTATGATTGGGATCAATTGAAAGCAATAACACTAGTGATGATCTATTACTGCAATTACTATCTGCTTCAGATCAAACCTAGTGGTGTCTCCGTACGATGATGGCATCCCGGGCAACCCTGTGGGGCAGCTTCAGGTGAGAATTTGAATTCAGAATTAAATGCTTTTGATGTTTTATTCAATATTAATATCATTACAATAAAAACACTCTCCAATAGTATCATAGTTTTGTAACTTATTTATTTGGTTATGAAACTTTTTCTCTCTCATGCTACTAACGTTTTAATCATGTTTGTCCATTAAATCTCATTCAAATTCATGTGATATCAAACTGAATGGAAGTTCGTGATTAGTTGAACTAAATGTGTGCCAGGTTTTTGTAAAGGAAAAATATACACAACTTCACAACAAACAGTTTTACTCATATGGCATTCATTTACTTCACAATCATTTGCTCAAGCATTTCGTTTTGTCGCTAATCCCGTATTAATAATAATGTTTAGATCAACTCAATTCATTAATAATGATACTTGAATTGACGCAAATTTAGTTTTACTGGCTTCATGAGTATATTGTAACTAAATACTGGACCTCTAGACACTATAAGCTTTGATAATAGAAATGTCTCAGTTGACAGAAGGTTACTCTGATAATTCTCTTTACGAAATTCTATTCTCTTTACAAAATTCATTCCATTACTCGAGTTTCACCAAAATTGTGGACCAATATGAAGTCAACTTCACGAATGTTTTTTGTTGTGTGTAACTGTAATTTTCACCCCATTTTTCCAGGAGCTTTGCATGACACGCCGCTGGCCGCCCCCAACCTACGAACTCATCGCCGAGGAGGGCTTCCCACACGAGCGCACCTTCTCCATCGCCTGCACCATTGCCACGTACAAAGAGATCGGTACTGTGTTGGTGGTTACGGTGTGGCGGTCTGTGTTGGTGGTGACGGTGTGGCGGTCTGTGTTGGTGGTTACTGTGTGGCGGTCTGTGTTGTTGGTTATTTTGCATAAGTTTATAATGAAGTTCGTAAAGTCTATTTTCTTTGTTTAAACTGAAATACCGTAATTTGCAAGAAGTATTCAGTACCCAAGAAAGGTATCAAAGGCTTGCTACTTAGGTTCTACGAAGGCACATGAACAATTATTTTTTTGTCCATCAGCCTCACGCGATACTTAATATAGCTCTCTTCAGTAAGCTTTTCAATTTTAACTTAGTCATTGGTGCAAGTCATATCTCAATGTGATGGTAATTTGAAATGAAGGATGTTGGTCACATCTCAGGTGGAGGGAAGAGTAAGAAGCTAGCGAAGCGACAGGCGGCGTTCTGCATGCTGCAGAAACTCCAAGACATGCCACAAGATTACCAGAACAACTCTGCGCTAAACGACGACGATGATGACGTGAGTAGAGCCATCGACAACCTGTCCCTTGACTGACCATCACAACGCATGTGCTTTTATATCTTCCTTTCACTCGGAACATTTTACACGCTGAAGGTATCTTTATTAATTTTTATTATTTGTATTTCGTTCAAGATTTTGCTCATTTTGTACTAGAATTGAGTTCTTTTGAAGTATAAAGAGAGAATATATTCTTTTTAGTGCTTATCCGCCAATCAAGATTCCCACCACAACGGTTAAATCTTAGACAGCTATAATGATTGCTTGATGGACACCTAAAACATATAATAAGTTCCTACTTCGTCCAATTCTTCCGTTACGAGTTTTTTTTACTAGAAGTCATTGAAGTCATTTTCTGCTGCTAACTGAAACCTTCATCTTGAATATTTTATGGGAAACTTTCTGGATGTCTGAAATCTCGATTTAATTCATACTAGTCATGTTTTATGCAGTTTTTTTATATGATCTTAGTGCGTTTCTATGTATTCTGTCTCATGTTTGGTGTATGGATTAATTGTAGAGTTATTTTATAATTGGCATTGTTGTCTTATTTATAATTGTGCAAGATTTATTCTCAACTATTTGCTAAAGAGTCTCGAGTTCTTCATCGAGACACGTTTAATCAAAGTGAACCGATGACGATCACAGCATCATGTATTTATGTACACATTAATTTTATTTTAACTAGTATAAAAATTTTCTGTACTGCAACTTCTAGGATTATTTGATCCACTAGCTCTTAATTTATATTATCGAAAAATTGCTTTTCTTTCACTGACGTTTCAACGTTTGTATTATAATGTGCTCTAATCTATGTTGTCTATTTTGTTATGTTGTTTGCTTTACTTATATTTGTATAATTTTATTAATTAAAACCTATTAATTTCTTCTGAATATCTCAGTCCAACTTTTTTCTGTTTTCTCTTTTGACTCCACTGACATTTTTGTTGTTCAAAAATTTTTTTCACTTATTAAGTGCGTTGAACTTGAAATTTTGGAAAGTATTGCACCGCTATCGTCCATGTGTATACTTATCTGCATTGAGGCGGAGTAAATCACGGCCGTTCTCGACTGTTGTTGCCAATATGTTACAGTGAAACGACTTGTTTTCCAATGTTACCTGACTTGAAATATTTTATGGAAATAAATAATCACTTTGTATTTCATAATTTTTATCCTTTTGGAGGAAGTGTAAGTTGGTCGGTCAAGGTTCAGAGTATATGCCACCAACGTTCTGCGGAAACCTAACGTAACTGCCAGAATTTGAATATTAAATCGTCAATGATGGAGAATCGCCAGCTTATTAGTGTAGATGAGTTTCTTGCCGTACCTCCAGTATCTATTTAGCTTACTATAGAAGATTGAACTTTATGCATCTCAATATTATGGAATTGCACCTTTGAAAACAGAAGGAATGGTTTAACTAATTTCTTCATTTTTTGTGAGCTGTAAAGATGAATCGCTAAGAATTTTTATGTTAAATTACTTCACCTGAAATGATTTGATTTTCTCTTGCTACAAGATATCAAATGTATGGTGCACCAAAATAAGCATATTGAGAAATCATTATTGCACACAATTGCAGGTCTCGTCTATTAGTACTTTATGTTACGAACATAATGCAAGAATTACTCGTGAAAAATCAGATTTCAGTATTGAATTATTTGGCCTTACTTGTTATTCCATATGTAAATGTAAGATAGGGTTTGATTTTCAGTTCTTTATTGTTTGAAGATCGCATTTGTTTAACCCTGGCTTAGCAGATTGCTAACTTCTCATTTCTTTATTGCAATTTATTATATTCCCAACTAGTTTTAGTTATATTTGTTGACACGTTAGGATCATTTATTATAATGAATAACATAATTTTTGGGGTGATATTTAACTGTAATCATTCAGAAAAAATGTATTCCTTTATGAAAATAATTGAATACTTAGATCTTATGCATAACCTTCTTGCTTACAGCTCTTGCAGCTAATCACATAAATATGCCCTCTAATAAACGTGAAATTTTTCTCAGCTGGCCCAGAAGCTGGCACTTCGCTACTCCAACCTCAAAGACACGAAGGTGAAGTCCCTCACTAACGCTGACTCCCGGAAAGTCAGCCAGTTCCACAAGTCATTGAAGCAGAAGGGTGGCCAGAATCTCAAGGATCTTCAGGTACACTTCTTATAAATTATATTTTATACTTTCGTCTTGTATAAAATACATAGTAAGTACTGAACAGTAATTAGCACTACACTATTTTACACAATTTATGTAGTGCTTTTATTATATAATTTCATTCTTTTATAATTTCTCTCGTTCTTTTCATATCTTTTTTATATAAACTAAATCTATCCCGTTTTAGGTTCTATTTGATTTCATCTTGTACATTATTTTTCATAATTTCTCATGGTATATAAACGTATTCATGTCGTTTCTTCTAGCGCCCATTTCCATTCTTATTACTTAAGCATTTGTTTCAAAATGAATTTAAAATCTTCTATCGTCTTTTTTAACTTTTAGCTCATTTGCACGTTAATGACCAGTTTTGCTTCTCAGTTTCCATTGTAATTTCTTCTCATTGCTACCATCTCTCTTGTCCAGATTTTCACTAAATCATGGAAGTATCTTTTCTGGTAATATGAGCAAAACTCAGATACTTGAAATGCACGTTACATCGATGAATGAATTTTCGTCAATTAGAATTTAATCCTGCGCATTAAAAGTGGGTCAAAGTATGGATTCGCTGCATATAATAATGCTCGCCATAACAACAGTCCGTCGCATCCTGACTTGGATACCAGCTGCTTGTGCTGAAGTTGTTTGGTTTCCAGGTGACGAGCTTGAGCATGAGTGGTGTGGACTTCGTGCAAATGCTTCAGAATATCTCAGAGGAAGTCGGCCTGGTGGTTACCTACGTTGGTGTGGAGGAGCGCAGCTTCTCTGGTGGGTCGTGATGTCAATGAAATTTGTCTGTGGCTTCACTAATCGCGTTGCTGTGATATCACGGTGAAACATGTTAAACTCTCAAAGGTTGTTTTGACTTTGGAAATAATATCTGGTGTAAATCAACATGTTAAACTCTCAACTGTTGTTTTGACTTTGGAAATAGTATCTGGTGTAAATCTAATTTTTCAAGTTAAGTAATAATTTTATTGCGTTTCAGGCGAATATCAATGTCTGCTGCAGTTGTCGACCTTGCCGGTGGTTGTTTGCTTTGGAACGGGCGCTACTCCAGAAGACGCTGAATCTTCAGCTGCTCATAACGCCCTTGAATACCTCAAAATTATGACTAAATCCAGGGATTAATTTGCTCTTATCTCCCTAACGTTTCCAGATATATTTCTAATCTTGCTGCCAAGTCGTCAGTGATTGCGGTTCAGTTCTTCCAAGATGAGGTTACGTACTAATACTACAAAATTTATACTGTTTTCGGGTATTGACGGCAGTTGCACTTAGTGTCTAGCTATAGAGGTGGCGTTGAAACATGTAATGTGATGGCGTAATGCAAGAAAGGGCGTTGCTCATCTGGATGTATAATTCTGAGGAAAGTGTATTATGAAAGTTGCTGCTTCGGTGATGTAATGTATTAGAATGGCCAAAATTTAGGTGCTCGTTTCATCTTTCGTCAAAAGAGTTTACCTGTTTTTAATAAATACACTGCAATAGTGTTTGTATTCTGCAAGTCCAGCAACTTGGGTAGTACCTTCCTGGTGTATTATTATACAAGATGAAGACTTATAGTCTTTATTGATGTCTTACTCAAGAGTGAGTTCGTTGCTTGGATAGGCGACGCGAAGCCCCGAATTTTTGTGCGTGGTGGCAACTGTTCGCATTGCCACCCGGTAGCAAATATTCTAGTTTCCTTGCTCGTGAAGCTTCACAGGAAATGACTTCCATTCTTAGTATGAGGTGCACGGCATTGATGGAATGATGGGTGGAGCGGATTTAGGGAGGGGTGGGAGCTCACTGCCCCACCGTCTCACTTTATCCGACCGACGCTCCTGTGGTTCGTGCTCGTGCTTGCTTCAATTTTTATTATAGAATTTCTGGCTCGAAGGCTCTGTACCCTTTGAATATTTTGTTTGACTGTAGTGTGCAACTTTTTTTTCTGAATTTCACAGTTCAGGCTTCCGAATGTCAAGTCAATTCACTTTCAAACGTTGTATTTTTGCTAATGTTTACAAAAATGTGGTGCGTTAGTTTCCTGGGCTTGTTATTTGCATTTGTGATCCGACGTGGGAATCGGTTCGTTTCCCGATTCTGGACAAAGCATGCGTCCAATTCTAATTATGCTGGTGCGGATTCTTGTGACCGTGCAATCAATATTTTATCCTCTTAAAGTCTGATGTATAATTCGGATAATTATTATTTTTTGATCGCAGAATATTATTTCTATTTTAAAATGAGAAAGGTCGGGAAAATAGCGATATTTTATGAATTTCTGTGTTATGATAGTTATTCTTTTGTCTATTGCAGCGAACTTTGGAACAGAATTGACATGTGTAATGAAGCAGTGAAACCGAGATGGAGGAAGATAACTCAGTTCTCAAGCTAGTGGCTTGCGGCAGTCCTTACCTTTAGCGTTGCACGCGTAGCTATTGTCTAATATATTCGCGTATCTCCCACTAATATTTAATACTTAGTGTATGGTTAGGACATAAGATAATTCACTACAGTCGTAATTGTGGAGCATGTGTCGGTCGACTGCTTGAGAATTTAGTTCAATTCTTCCTTAACTGCGGTGTTAGATTTAGTTTCAACCTGAAATATTTGTTTACGTCGGAAGACGTAGGTTATTTGATCCTGGCTGAAATTTTGAAGCTCGATTCGCAATATCCTGAAATTTTAGACATGTGTTTTTTAAGCTGTAAAGTTGCTATTAGCATACATGCAACCTCAAATGCAATTCGACGGTACTCTGTAACGCGGGTAACTCACATACTTTACTCTCTGGTCTATTAACCTGTTCACATTTCGTATCGTAGCTGCGCACTTCTAACGTCGCTCATCTCAAATCCGATAATATAATCAGTATGCATGTCACCACTTTCTGCGTATTATCAGTTACAATGCAGTGGTTATCAGGCGGTTGCATTGAGGTTCGCACGCTCGTTAGATGAGCTTACCTGCACCACCATTATTACGTCGTTAATGGAAGTGTCGGTAAGAAGCCTAAGAGATGCTGCGAAAATTACTGCAACTGGCTGCTGGCTGGTTCATTAGCTCGGATTATCGTTCGCGTTTCGAATTACTGATAGACTCGATATACATATTTGTGCACTACTGTGTTTATTCATATTCTGCACTTGCGCTTAAGCCCGTTCTTTCTGTGCTTTAAACTGTTCATTTAGTGATCCTGGGTTCCCAGTACCCAAAAGCGGTTGATCACTAGTATATAATCGATAAATTTATTCTGAAACATTGCTATTTGTTTTTCTGTTAATCGTCGTGTGAAATACACTTTTTGTTACAACCCTCGCAGTAAATTCTGAGAGAATTAATGGTCAATTTTGATTGTTCACGGAGCTGAATACGACGGAATGCATGTAACCCGGAAGCAATTCCTCTATTCAGCGTACAGGCTATAGCTATATCCAATGCAAGATTCATCATGTTTCTTTCCAAGCTCGTGCATATTACTTGCAGGCAATTCTCATTTGGCAAAGAACAAAGATAACGGGAAGACGTAAAGTTGGCTTGAACGATCGAAGCGGGCTTGGCAAGTTCGTTAAGACAGTGCATCTTTTGTATCAATATATTTGCCTCGGAATCCGGAAGTTAAGGCATGATTTACGTTATTCATAACTCTCCTTTCCTTGTGCAAATTTGCAAATTATCGAATGATGCCCACGAGTAAGAAGCAATGCCAACATAAATACATATTTTTTTTTCTTAAGATTTTTGTTCTCAAACTGACCCACATGAAACGAACAATAATTGAAATTTCACATTCAAGCTTAAACTTCAAATGACAAAATCTTGCTGAAACTATAGTTGAGCCAAGAGAGAATGTATTGCTATAATAGTTCCAGAGTCTGTAACATCAAATTTATATCTAGGATTTTTTCAAGGATATGAAACAGCTAACAGCATAAACATAATTTCTTGTAGTTAGTGCATTGTTAAGAGTAACACAAGCTTTGGCATTAGTAAACACAACAATGATCATATACCTAAGGATAAATTAAGTGCATCGCAGTAATCACATCTTAAAATATTCAATCCGACCGAATCCACATCAAAAAACTCAACACAAACCTTAAACGCGCTATCGCATTTATCGAAGGAGCCGTCAGGAGACGCCAACGATTTAAAATTTGAGAAATTTTTCAATCAAGAGGCAACTGGGATTCAGACAGAAATTTCATCAATTCCTGGCGCCTGGCATGGCAGAAAAAGAACCTTGAAACCGTTCCAATTATGATTCTAGAATATTTATACACAGATGCTAATCATACGCACTAGAATATTGAAGACAATCTTAGCAAGAGAAGGATGACGAGAACCAACGCTCTTAAATGTTACTGGACGGTATTTAATCATTATTACAGTATAGCCAAATCTTAATCTATAGTATCATATTAATATCAGTTGTATCTAAAATTTGAATGCGATTACTTCAATCTCACAATTCTCGCAAACCTCGGCCTAAAACACATTATAATTGATTGCTATGAATAATTGATACATTCAGCTCAAGAAATTAAGCATCAACAACGCGATTTCGTTCAAGACATTACTTTCATAATTCAATTTCGGGTATTTTTGGTGAAAGCCAAAGCGAACCATGCCGATGAGAGCTTCCAAAATTTCTCAAGATACGTTACTACTTCCTTGCCAGATGATAAACTAATATTACTGTAATATATAGGTATGAGTAACACTTAAAATTAACCTTTATGATTTCAAGACAACTAACCATAATTTCATATCAGTCATTTTAAAATAATTTCAATACTATCGGTCAGAATCATGGATTAAAGCCGTAACAAAAAATGACGTGGATTTTACACGTGTTATTTCGTCACTTTTCACATCATATGAAGGGTGCACTGCAAGGAACGATCCTTCATTCAGAGCGTTTTCATACTCCGCTGCTAAATCATGGACATCTTTCGCGTCGAAATTAATATGTTGAAATTGCTCTTTTGCAGCCTCGTTATTTCCTTTGTTCTTCATAAAACATGGCATTTTTGTATGATCTATGGAGGTATTTTTTGAATTTGGATCAGAAGATGAAGTGAGAGAGTCGTTGCTATGCTGACTTCGAGGCGGAGTCAAAGGAGATCCTGACATCAGGGGACTGGATCTAACATCTCGGCTGGAGGAATTCTGATCTTCATGTACGCAATCATTTGCAGCAGGGCATGATGACGAGGTCTTCTCACAAGAAGCACCGTCACCAGCGGAACCAGCAACCGAGTTTTGATAGCTTGGAACCTTCAAAACTGTACCTTGTTGAGAACCTGATAATTGCTCGACTGACGTTGGTGTTATGTCATTAGCACTCTGAACAACACTCCTGTTAAGACTGTACACACGAGCGGCATTGTGACACATTTCCTCGCTAGAATCGAAGGCAAAGTTGGTGTACGCGCGACTGAGATTTTGATCAAGGTAGATTGAGTCTATTTCAGCTGGTAAAATCGCGGGAGGCAAAGACTTCGTCAGAAGAGAATCTTGAAAATCAATACTACCCGAAGGCGCACATGTCCAAGACGAACTAGGAGGTCTCAAAAACTCGTTTTCAAAGCTAACATCACAATGGGATGGTACTTTAACATGAGACAAATTAACCTTCCGCTTCATACTTCGTCGACGATAAGCGAATGCAAAGATCACCATAAGTAGTACGGCAGCGAGAGATAGGGACGTTAATAAAATAGAATAAAAAGCCAAGTTAGACATGGGCAGCGAGTTATGAAACTGAAATTTTCCATCTATTCTAGGAGCATCATTATCCATATAGCCTACAGAGTCAAAATTTAACAACTTATTCACGCCTGTAGTAGTAGAAGAATCAGAGGAATTTAATAGAGGAATTTGAGTAGTCATTCTATTCAAGTTTTTTAAACGACTAGATACAGAATGTTCTCCGGGATTGCCCACTTCCAATTCAGTAACAGATGTCACATCGACATTGTGCTCCAATGAATTTTTTGTGATCAAGCCATCCACCAATAATATATCAGGCTCAGAATAGTCCTGTTCCAAAATATTTTTAACTGGACTATCTAGAAAATTTGAATCCGTCCCCGGTTCATGAGAGATGAATCCAGGGTCTGAATTGATTGGCAAAGATTCAGAGGATGACTCTGATTCCAGAGTAGCGATGGATGCTGGCGAAGATTCGGAAACTTTTTCACTTGTGAAAGTAACCGAGTTGGAATGGATGGATTTTAATTCTGATTTGGGGATAGGAAGCTGTTCTTGAGTGACGAGCACGTGCCCAGAAGTTGTCGGAATTGGTGCAGAAGTGGAAGGCACTGCTTCAGAGGTTGGAGGAATTAGTGCATTGGTGGAAGGCACTGGTTCAGAGGTTGGAGGAATTGGTGCATTAGTGGAAGGCACTGGTTCAGAGGTTGGAGGAATTGGTGTATTAGTGGAAGGCACTGGTTCAGAGGTTGGAGGAATTGTGACATCAGTGGAAGACACTTGTTCAGAAGTGAATAACATTGTACCAGATGGGACAAGTTCAGAGTTTGTGGAGGTAAATAATCGGTCAAAAGGGGAAAATTCAAGATCAGGAGTGGCCGTTACTAGCTTGTCATTGGAAAAAGGTTCTGCTTGATAGGTTGGGAATATAGGTTCAAATTGGAAAGATTCAGTTTCATAATACAAAACTGGTTCAGTCGTAAACAACTCTGGTTCAGAAGTGGCGGTCACTATTCCTGTAGTGAAAGATTCATGTTCACTAGTTGATATTACTAATTCTGTAGTGGAGAATTCTGGCTCAAAAGTGGAGGGTTTCTTTTCTGCAGTTGGAGATTTCAAGTTCAAAGTAGATGACACGGTTTTGAAATTGGATGAATTTGGCTCATAGATAGAGGATTTGGATTCTGAGGTAGAAGATTTTGGTGAAGCGGTGGAGGATTTAGGCTCAGAAGCGGTGAATTGTAGTTCAGAGGAGAATTTTGTTTCTGAGGTAGGTGAAAAGGTAGAGGATTTGGGTTCAGAGATGAAAGATTTGTCGTCCAAAGTGGAAGATTTGGGTTCAAAGTTGGAGTAATTGCGTTTAGAGGTGGTGGATTTTGGTTCTAACGTGGAAGTTTGAAAATCATTTGTGGATGAATTTGTTTCAGAAGTTGTGCTTACTGATTTTGATAGAAGAAGAAACATCTCAGAGTTGGGCCGATCAATTTTAGAGCTAGTAGATCTGTCATTAGAACTATTACTATGAATTCCAGTAATACCCGCGTTGGACAGTTCTCGAGGAGATTCTCCAAGTTCTGAAGGTGAAATTCTCATGAACGTATATGGTGACAAAAATTTTAGCTCATGGGTAAAGGATACTAATTTAGTGGTCATTTTCATAGGTCCCTGAGTCACAATTACTGGTTTTGAAGTAGGAACAGAGGATGGCTCATCAACAGAATGCACTTTTGCACTGCCAGAAAAGAATGAGGCCAAGTCAGACAATGTTGTAGGTGACAAAGCATTAGATAGGTTCAGATCATGGGGAAATGGATCATTTTTTGGTAGGTGGTCGACAGAATAAGCATTATTTAATGACAAAACTTGAGTAGTGAGTGGGTTATTTATGAACTCAATATCTGGGTTCAAGTCAGCAGATTCAGTGTCAATTGAAGCTGAAAGCTGACTAGGAATTGTCAAGGCAAAATTATCAGTTTTTACATGTAGTTTGACATTGTTTAAATCAAGATTTTCTACTGTTGATGGCTCATGCTGCAAGCCAAAGATTTCATCTTTCAAATTGGTCACAACTTTTGAGTAGACACCCATGACACTGACATTAGATTGAGGAGATGCATCAAAAGATGATGTGTTTGAGGAGAGCAAAGTACTGACACCAGAGAAGATTGAATGAAGCTCTTTTGTGTTTAAAATATATGGTAATGGACTAGATGATTGACCATCCTCCATTGCACTTGCAGAATTTTCAAACTACATGCATTCAAAACCCAATTCTTAAATAAATAGTAATAAAATTATCAAGCTGCAAGAAATCAATGACCGATAAAATTTTTTATATTTTTCAACAACAAACCTGAAGAAATGCATAGATGAAAAATAAGTAATTCACAAAGCAGCTATTGCTGAGAAGTTTTCATCACAGAACTAAATTTTATCAACCAAACTGACCACAATGACAGCAAACAAAGACCAAGTCTGACAAAGCCAACTCAGCCTCCAACTGATTATGTAGCACTAGTAGCAGCAATTCAAATCCTGTACAGTAGTGCTGTGTTCCAGATACTTTAATTGCAGTGATGTGTGGCAGTCTTAAACTTGATCCATGGACTGTTCCTTTTCCTTCCTT